GCAGGCACATATGTTAACTGAAGGAAAAAGTCTTAGTCAATGGAAGCTTGCAGGAAAGGTGTTAAATCTCAGTTTCTCCATAAATGAGAAATATTTTCCAGTCATTATGTCTCTCTCTTAACTTGGCATACATACAACTACTCTGTGCTTTGATGTGCTCATTTTGGACTCAGAATGCTGTTTGTACAGAGAGCAAGGCATGAAATAAGCCATTAACAGGGGCAGAACTGCAATTTTTAGGCCAGGGGAAAAAGAGCAATGTGTTTCTCAATTCTGCCAATATGAACAAAACTTCACCTCTTTGCATTTTGTTTTATTTACCTCGAACTTGCCACTGTTCACTTAAGGAAGAGAAAATATATGATAATTTTGAGGGAATTTTTTTGCTGGCCCTGATTCTTAATATAGCCGTGTCTGGATAGGTTTTGCAGAATTACTATCCAGAAAAACATGTCAAGGGTAGATTCCACACAAACATTGAGCCCCGGAGCACCAAAAGGCATGCAGTTCAAGAAATCTGCAAATCTAAACCAACTGTGGTTGTGTGGTTTTCATGACTGACATCAAACTTCAAGCTTTGAAAAGACTGTGAATATTAATTATCTGTGACCCTGTGACTCTCAAAACTGATTCATCTATGTTAGCTGATTTGGGAACAGGAAAATAATCTTTATTTCTTACATGTTAGAGGGAGGAGGCCCTGGTGGAATCATATCAACAAGTAAATCTACAGAAACAGAAGTTCTAGCACTGACTTTGATGAGAAAAAAGTCGGAGAAAGACTGACAACTTCAGAAACGCCTGTTCCTCATGAACAAATAATGACAGGCAAGTTAGGACAGTGCTCTCAGAGAAGTTAGCCTATAAAGCCTTTATGAGAGAACTGCACACTTTGAGTTTTAAAAAGCTTGGTCCAAATCCTATCTTAGCTGGCTGCACAGACTTCTGAATACAGCACTCTAGGGTTACACATGAACAGCTGAGATCAGTCAACACAGCATAAAAATATTTAGAATGTCTAGATATCTAACAAGCCCATCGTGAAACCTATCGGGCTAATGATAAACTGCTGGTCTCAGTCAGTTATTTCCACAACTGGTTCAAGAAGTATTACCAAGCACTTACTGCATTGGTTATCTTTCCCCTGGGTTCTGCAATCTTGCCCTATTTACACTACATTATGTACAAACCTCTTAGTTCATAGCATTTATTTCCTTCTGCAGTCCAAGGGACTTCATTTCTCTTTCCTAAAAAAAGAAAATCTGAAATGCCCAAAGCCCAAATAACATTCCCTATACAAGAAGCCTGTACAGCTACTTGTAGTTGGAGCAATATTACCCAAAGTGTCTAACTGCTACTGATTTCTGCTTGAAATGCTAACTGCTATAGAAAACCATATTAGGTGTCTTTTTGCTGTTCTCTATGCCCAGGATACCTTTAGAAATCTGCCTCTTCCATGCTGAAATCTCTCAATGAACAGAAGAACAAAATGAGGGGATCAAACAAAGTATACACTTTTTGCAGCAGAATTATCACTTTAAAAAACTGCAGCTGAACTCTTCACAACAATAGTATTTATAACAGATAAGAGTCAGGGCCTATTTCAAATACTACTGAGATAACATGGCAAGACCATTTCTGGAGAGAAGCCTCCGTCCAGTTTGCTCACAGTGTGGGCAGAATTATCTTGTGTTTGCACTTGCCTAAGTAGTCCTGTGCTCTCAAATCAAAACGCATCTTCACAAATACAGTCTCCTAAATCAAAAGTTTATCCATGCTGTAAGAACTAAGCCCTTCTCTTCCTGCTAATGTCAGCAGAGAAAGAGTCTATACTAACAATGACCCTTGCATTAATGCTCCACTGCTGGAAGTGATAATGGAAAAAAAACAAAAAAAATTCAGAGACCATGCTAGGTCCCAGAAACACCCCCTTTTTTTTTTTCCACTGCAACCTTAATAGCAGTGATGGTACAACCATTTAGTTGTTCTTGATCTCCTGCCCACTGCAAGCCAAAGCAAAGGAGGACCTGTTTACAAGAACAGGTCACGTGCTATTTGCAATTTAAAAGGGGCCTGAACTGCCTTCCATTTTAAAAAAGGATCTCTGAGAGGAGCCAGTGAGATTGGTTAAACACACAAAAACACCATAGGAACAAAGCCATGTGGCAGTATTTCTTTGACACAATGAAGTCCCACAAGGGATCAAACAATGCCCAGGGCTGGCAGCCCATGCTTCACTGAACCACATCTGAAACTATCAAAGGCAAAACAACTCCCAAAGACGGACAGATCTGGAGGCAGATAGAAAAATGAGGAGAGATCACAAAATGCACTCAGAATTTTTGATAATGAAACAAGATCAGCAATTTGCCTGTTTGCACACATACTTGGTGAGGTGAAGTACCCGCTCGCTCTGCTGGCCTTGCCACACACAAGCAGGGACACTCCTCCAGGGGAGAAAAGGGAAAATGCTTTCACTGGGCCTTTTGTAAGGTCTGCAGTAGGTACAGAGCAGTAATGTACCTATAGCCCCATCCCTGGCAGTGTTCAAGGCCAGATTGGATGAGGCTTTGGGCAACCTGGTGTAGTGGGGTTGGAACTAGATGATCTTCAAGGTCCCTTCCAACCCTAACCATTCTATGATTCTATGAGGCTCTTGGAGGACACCGTATAGCTTTCAAGCATAAAGCTGCTTGATGTACAGAAAGATCACACATGCTATTCTTAGAAAGGGACCAAGGACAGGAGGCCTGGATTAAGCAGAGCTCTTCTCCCTGTCCCTTTCACATTCAGACAGAAGTACATAAACATCATGTCCCAAGGAACATGAGCAGGACATTTTAACAGTAGTACCTCATCACACCTCCTTTCTCATAGCTTGCTGTTGTATTTACACTTACTCCCTCCCTTCTCCCAAGCTACTTCCCACCAGAAGCAATGATATTTCTATGCAGTCTAAACTGGCAGCTTTTGTGTTTTGAATTTCCATTTCTGCATTGCTCTAAAAGGATTGTTCAATTCTGCATAAAATGTCCTTACCATTCTAGGTGATTTTCAACAAAGGCAGACATGGGGCTGATCTGTACAGTGTAAGTGTCATTGGCTGAATACTCAAACAGCCCGTAATAGGGATTGAAGAGCTCCTGAGACAGAAGGAAGAAGAATTCTCGGGAGGGGCCACTGTAGTCCAACCTGGGAAAAGGCAAAAAAGATAAAATGAGGCTCATTCCTATTTCAGTGTATTTCCTGGGTTTTGCTTACATTGGCTGCTGTCTAACACCTTCCCCTGTGCAGTCAAGCGTTTCTAACGTGGCGTATCCAAAGACACAGTCTAGCCCCAAGGATGCTCTCTTAGCTATAGGTATAACCTAAAGGCCAATGCTCAACGAGACCAAGTCCCAACAGAACTGCATCTCTTAGAACAGTGATTCTTCAGTTGTTCCATCCAAGATCTTCTACTTTTCTGACAGTTTCAAATATATGTGGCACATCTTAAGCTGTGCTTTGCTGTTGCATAATTTTGCTCAGTAAAGAGTCACCTATTTTCCTTGGTTTTTTTTTTTTTAAACTCAATTTTTAAATCAAGCTGTTTCCAATTATCTCAACTTGAAAAAAAACCTCCACAAAAACCTTCATGAATGCATTAAATCCAACTGTGATGGATTTATTAAAAACAGATCATCCTCTAATAATGGTAGGTAGGCTTTTCAATCTAAATAAATCTACACGTAGCAATATGAACAAATGATTTGTAGCCATTTATCATGTGTGCCAAAAGATTTTCTGAGGTGGTTACTATTCCTTCCACTTAACAAATGTAAAGTACGTGGAAAACTCTGCAGCTGGATCAGAATGCTCTGTACTATGTTTGAAGTTACAGAAGCATAACCACAAGGGGTTGAACGATCGATTTGTCCAACTAGAAAGATGATAAAGGGCAGGCTGGCCCATCCTCCTCTGTTTTATATCTGGAGATTCGTACTTTTCTCTTTGAGCAGCTTTAGCTCTAGGATCATGCAGTGAGACTAAAGCCACAACAGCAAAAAGGGGTGGCAATAAGCCCACATGAACCACCAGTGCTAACCATGTAACAGATCTGGTTCAATGGATATTAAAACATTAGGCTAAGCCTGATGATGGCTGGAGTAAAGAACTACAAACACCACCTCTCTATATTCAAAAACCTCCCAGAAAAGACTAGATATTGCATTTCTGGGCAACACATTAACTCATCATAAAGACTTCATAGTTCATTTTCAATGTAATTTTGGCTTTGAAAAACATGGGAAGCTGTGCCCATGCAGCATCATGTGGCCATACAGCATCAACTCTTCTTTTCAGGAGGCAACTGGTATCTTGGAGTCCCTCCAGCAGAACCTATATTAGCATTAAACAGCAGAAACCCTAGGGGAATGTATTTTCAAATGTAAATGAATCAGTGAAGAATGAAGAAATTTGCAAATCAAATTGGTTTGTAATTTCTCCTGAGGATACCATGCCACACACAGTAAAAGTTATTAGAGATGTAGGGAAAACCACATTACTTTGGCCAGTATTAGCATACTAGAACACTATTCCAAAAAAGCAAACTGAGGTATGCTGCATGTTTATTCTTTACTAGCAAGCCAGAGGCAAAACCAGCTGTGAAAGACAATCTCTGTTAAATAATACTGAATCCATGGAGTATAAAAAGAAAGAGTTAAGAAAACCTCTGATACTGAGGTCCTCCAGTGACTCTCTTTGAAGCTGGTGACTTCTATTTTCTGCTGGACCTAACATGTCCCAGAGAAGCCCAGCTCAGCAGAAGCTCTTCACCTGACATGCCAACTCAGAGCTGATAGTGTCAGCAGTTGTTGGACATGCAGAGTCCCAGATCCTTACTGTTCTGGTACCTTTAGAACTGAAATCCTATCCATGTGGTGTTGGTTGTTTTGTTTTGTTTTTAAAAAGGAAACTTTATATAAAAAGCTATTGAAATACGATTTCAAGCCTTTGTTATATGGAACACGCACAATGGTCTTACCATTATAAAAGCATACGGATTAAGCCTCAATTACAATATAGCTCTTGAGGTGAGCCAGGGTGGCTTTGAAGGGTTCTGTTTAGATTTGGAAACAAAAGGTCAGGGGCTGGCTTTTATCATACAAGAATGGCTTGTGGATTTGTAAGGTTGGCACAAAGTCTCCTGACAAAAGGCCTTCTAAAGAGACTTCTATTACTTTTAGCTTCCAACTGGGTGAATTTAACTGCAAGGACTGAACAGCATTCATTTTTCTCACGTCAGTCAGAAATGAGAAGTCCACATATGGATAACAAATGATCATTAGATGGCATGCAAAGCAAAAATTTTTTAAGCAAAACCAGATCTATTTTGAAGAGTTAGAGTAAAGAAAAGGAGTAATAAAAAGGTCTGGTTTCTAATTAGAGCCCTGAGACTGATTCAGTGCGTAAACATGGGCCTGTAGTTCAGTTTTGCCTTCCAGCCAGTCAAAATACCAACGGCAACAAGATGACATTAGATTTAACTACTTAAATTGTCACTTTGAGACATCTAGATGGAAGGTGCACAGGAAAACGAAGCACTATTACTATTGTTATTTTAAAAAAATGTTTGAGCTGATTAAGATGAATCACATACTCAGAGGTAAAACAAAACCAAAGAAACATTACGTAACAAGAGAGGCTTGGCCTTAGTCAACTCTGTAAGTGTTTTGCAACAGAACAGCTACTTCAAAACTGATAGCATTTAGTGGTTTCCTACCCTTCCTCGCCAACAAACGTGACGTAGAGTTTGTTCCGCTGGAGCTCCTTGCGTGAATATGCCATTACCTGGTTGAAGGTGCCTTCCAGCAAGTGGTCACGTCGTATAATTAACCTGAAAAGTGAGGCAGAAACAGAGATCTAATGATTGAGTCTTGCGTGAGCCTGTGAGGCTGAAGGTAAACAAGAGCTGGTAGAGAGATACTCATTCTCAGAGAAGTTAATAAAGTTGCATCCAGTGGTGCACACGCTACTTGACCATTATGGGTTTTGATTGAGTTATTTCATTAGGCTTTTCTATATGCCTCAAAGGTCAATTTCTTCACAGTGCTGTGATTAGGTTCAAAGTGTTGCTCTACTTAAGACTCTCTTTAACACCCTCTAGGTACAAATTTGTATGGTGGAGGGGGCTGTGAGTTTCCTGACTACATGACGTCACAGCTTTCTGGGATTGGCCCCAAACTCACTCTGGATTTAATTCAGTGAATGCCCATGGAATTACTGCTTCTGTAATAGCGTAAGCAAAGGGAGTATCAGCCTCTGTTTATACAATACACCTCTCAGTCCCCTGCCAAACTCTAAAACAACTTAATGAATAGTATATTTAAACACCATCTACACAAGAAATCCTTCTTGTTCATATGTTCATGAACATTTTAAGACAAGACTTTCTAAAATGTATTTCGTGTCTGCCTTGGAGCCACTTAGCAAGACACCAAAAGGGATAACCAACAGCTAGGACTCCCCACCTCTGCAAGAACGATGACGTTTGCCTGAAATAAATTGCTTGGCTTCCTAATTTTTTTTTTTCCACAACAGATGTGATTTGGTAGGAAGCCAACCTGATGCATAAACTCAACCAGATGCCCAGGAAATACTTTTAGAAACACATAGTCCTTTGACCAAGTTGAATAACTAGATAGAGCACAAGTAGGTACAGACTCAAAAACTATCAAGATGTGTGGAAAACAAACTCCACAACCAAGCGACAGAGATTCCCAAAATACATGAAGAGAGGCAGAAATGCCTCTAGTTCAAATCTAGGAGGGCTACCAACACAAAGAACTACTGAAAATTAAACCTGCATGTAAAGGATAACTTCTATAGGGTCATACTCTGGTCCTGAGTTATGCTGATATGTAGATCTAAAGGATTTGGAGTCACTCCATCATTACAATGACATAGCTGTTTATAATCTCTAATGGATGTTTGCCTGAATGGATGATTTTCCTACTAGCAAATTATAGGTAGGAATGCCAACATCCTTGTTAAATAGGTAGAGAATGAGAGTGTAAGAGAATATGAAACTTTAAGAAATAAAACTTCCACACAAAGCCCTCTTGAAGGTCACTCTTGTGTAGGATATACTAAGATATTATCTCGCCCTGATGGTTCATGTACAAAACGAAATCTCGGGTGTGTTTCTCCTTCCCTATCAGTGTCTTTGTTCAGCGATAATGATAAAAGACAAAGTTGCACCATGTTAGACTATGTGAATGACTCGTCATAATACTCACTTAATTTTACCTGGACCTTGCCCATACCCTTTGGCTTCAAGTTTTCGATAGAAATTGCGCAGCTTGGCTTCGAAGTCCCTCCTGTATGGAGAAGGTGCTCTTGCACTTGCTCGCTGCAGTCCTGGCGGGAAAATGAACAGCATCCTAAAGTGTAAGGAGCTTTATATTTTTCCAAATCATGCAGCTGATGTTTCCAGACAGAACTGGCTAACAAATGCATTAGGAACTTTTTACAGGTATACAGTGCACTCAGTATCATTTTTGTTCTACCTGGCATTAATGGAGTTGTAAGTTCCTATAATTCAGTGATTGCAATGACTTCCAGGGGCTGTATCTTCTTCATCAAAAGAATTGTTAAGCTTGCCTTGTATGTGCCTTTGTGTTGCCTCAGTCTTTAACTGTGATTGATCTGAACGGAAATTCAAGGATCAGAAAGGCATAAGAAAGACTGACATGCATAACTCCCACTCATGGTCATTGGTATTTAGGTTTTCTTTCCCTTTTGCACTTCTAAGAGATCTCTCTCCTCTGCATTGTAAAGGAGACCTCCTTACTTGGCAGGATTAAACCTCTGGAGCTCAAAGCAAGGCTTCTCACTGGAGCCTAGCACCTTAGCCAAGCTGGGAATTAGGTTTCCCTGTTAATCTGACTGTATATTAAACACTTCCAGCTATCAACACAAAAACCTTTTGTGGCATGAAGAATTTCTGTCAGCAAGAAATGCTACATTTTCCTATTATGATTCACACAAACAGCAGATTTTTAGCAATTTGGGACCTGCTTTGTTTTGAAATCTGCATTATCAAAGTAGCTGATTAGTCCTTTTGTGTAAACAAGTGCCATGCCATAAAGGGTGAAAGAATGGATCCATGAAATCCCATTTCCCTATCTCATTACAGAAGACAATAAAAACAAGCCTTTTTATGAGAAATCTGGCAGAAAATCGTCCACAGGAAGGAAAAAAAAGAAAAATTATAATAGTGGGACAAAGTATTGTCATTGCTGGGAGAGAAGGACATTACTAATTTTATCTGCTGGTAAAACAGAAAGGCATATTTATGTGCAGTGCAAAGAGAATCCTTTGCACCACTTCTTTTCTTCTGTTAGACTTTTTTTCCCTTAGGACATAAGAGAATGGTTGCTCTCATGGGCTATGAAACCAGTGGCAGAAATAAGCAAGCAGACAGTATATTGCTGGAAATTAATATTTGCCCTTCTTGTGTTTTCACAAGAACAGGTAAAGTCCAGTGCAGTTCTTTTAACATTTTCTTAAGCCATGTTCTCGCCAAATACTTAGATTCTTGTCTTGCAGGAGACTTGTTTATGACCTCTCCTGATGTAGAGGAGGGGAACTGTATTAACAATGGTGTTAAAACTCGTCAATGAATACAGGATCTTCTGACAAAACACTCTCCTCCTACAGACAAAGGTTAAGCATTTAACTTCTTCACATCAAAAAACCTTCCTATTTTCCACTGCCACCTCTGAGATTTGAATGTCTCTTATCCATTAATTTTGTTTGAAATCAGATAATTTAAATGAATGTTAAAAAAGCTCAGCCAAAAATCTATTTCTTCAGATTCACATTTCTGTCGATTCTCTCAAAATGGCCACTGGACACAGTCACGTAGTGAGACTGTGGTGGGGGTTGTATATCTTGGCAAAAGGAAGACATTAGCTCCTCAAATTTCTATAGCATAAACAATAACTACAGACACATGCCACAGCTGGAAATAACCTTCTCAGACAGCACGTCTTTCTGGAAAATACGTTTCCTGTCAAACCTAAGTTAATGGGCTCAACACAGGAGGTCAGAGTAGATGATCAAGATGATCCCCTCAGGTCTTAAAATAGACGAGTCTTGGGAAGAAGAGAAGTCTTTGGAACACCAAGGGGAGGAGACTGAACTTTACAGGAGTACTGGAAGTACTGCAACACACCTTTGATTTGCAAGTTGCTCTTTGCTCCTGTCACGTAACGTGAATACGCTTCCATGTCATTAAGTTATGTTTGGAGTGTACCATTCTCTTATTCTAATCCTTTCCAACTATGTAAAAAGCAGGAAAATACCTTCTTCCATATGGGCAATTTCTGATCTCTGTGCTTCATCCACTGTTAATGTTTCAACAGATACATAACAGCAAGGGTAACCGAGCCAGTGAAAGAGCAGCTGCGGCCAGGTTCGGAGTGGGCACTGGAATTAGCAGGCTGACAATTGATGCTGGCTCTGAATCTCCCTCTTTGTATTTATTAGGAGAAATACCACAAATGCAAGATTTTGTATTATTTTCCTCATCTCCTTACCTGGAGAGTTTTGGGGTGATGAACAAGGAGAGCAGCGAGGAGAGAAACTGTAACCAGGATGGAAGGCAGCCTGCAGTGGTATGTAGGACATAATATCCTCTTCAAAAAGGCTGCATGGAAGAAATGATAGGGAGAGGTTTGGTTCACATTCATCACACGAAGGAATGCAGATATGCAGTACGGTGCAAGTTTGCTGTGGTCCTAAGTCTGGGTATATCTGAACTCATGGATTCATAAAATCCTTAAGTTTCCCAAATCAGGTATGGTCACCAATAACAAAGAAGAACAAAATGAATTTTATTAGACATTTCATGCTAACACAGTGCCTCAATCTACTGATACAGATCTGAGGCTATGCAGTAAACAGGGACAACTTCGACATGTTAGAACTGAGAAGCAAAGATACACACATCTGTGTCAGGTTGTTTTTCTTGGGTCATACATTTTCATACAGCTCAGCTCTTTGACCGTTTGGATTAAGTTGATGGGAATAAGTTGTAAACTTCTTGCATTAGGCAGTGCTATATAGCATACCAAAACCACCTGGGCAATGCAACATTTTCCAAGTAAGAAATAAATAAACAATAAAATAAATCCTTATCTGTGCTAAACAAAAGTAGCTAGGACCTAAAGACCAAGCTCTCTGGTCCCAGTAAAAATTAAAGCCTTATCTAAATTACCCAAACAATGCCCATGGCACTATACATCAAGGTTTCATTAGTGTGACATGGCCCTGCATGTGTGAGCAGCTCTGCTATGGTAAAACTAGCAATTTCATGAGCAGTTAAATTATTTACTTGTATTGAGAAAGACAAGTTTTTTCCTCTTTTTTCTTTTTTTAAGGAGAAAAAAAAAAATGAAGTAAGAATTTTTACATTAAAAGGAAACATTTTGACCAGATTCTTTTTTATCATCTGCTTGATGGTAACAGCTGTATTGATTGAGCTGGCTGGGGATGGAGTTTACTGCACTGATGGAGGCTGCCTTCCAGGACGTAAGAGTTGACAGATATGCTCTGGCTGAATTATTCTGGATAACAATGAATCCTATTCTAATGACCTGGAAGATTTAACAAAATCTTTTCAATTATGCTGAGAAAGAGCAAGCCAACTTCTCTGGTACCGTAAGTAATGACGTTGTGCTTTTGATCAAATGGATTACCTCAGCAGAATTACTAAATCTGCATCACAGGACAATTTTTCAAGCCCATGTGTACCCTCTGTCCGAATGTAATGGATCTTCTCCCTGAAACATAAATTATGTTATTGAGAAGAGAAGAAAGAAAAAGAAGAAGAAAACATGCCATTATCAAGACATGAACTACACACAGAGTTATTATTCCTTGGTATTTGCCAGTTCCTGTTTCTCTCCGTACAAAAATGGCAAACATCTTAACTGCCTGATTCATTTTCTAGTCTCACTAACAAACTTGCAAAAAAGAACCTATTTTTATCACTCAGTTTCCTGATCCAAAAGCAAGAGATATTATACCATATTTTAGAAAACAGAATGATTCTTAGTCCTCTAAGCTCACGTGTAGCACTATAGCTAAGGTCGCAGACAATTTTTTTAAGGCTACAACTAATATACCACCTTTCATTAACAGAATTTTACATAACACCGCTTCCTTTACCCCTGTCAGTTCTATCTGGCAAATAACACTCTAACATATACTTGTCATTAATTCATCACAGAGAGGTAATACAGTACATGTGTAAAATCACACATTTTGTTGTTGAAATGACTGCTAATAAGGAGTGGGAAACAGAGGATAGGATCCTATCAGCAGATTAGGGCCATGGAAGATATAGCTCTACACCCCAACCTGTCAGTGTGTTTCTAACGCATTACAGTGCCCAAGAATATTTATTCTAGTATCAAGTCGAAGGATTCTACCTCAAGTCAAGGATGTACTTTAGTGTCTTCTGGGTGGGGCTGCAATATTGCAGAATCAAGCCCTGTAAAAGACGGACATTTGTCTCCTAGGAGCTTGCTTAAGACCTGCTGTATGAGCTTTAGAGGGTAGCTCTGGATCACTCCTGACCTAAGCTGTAATCAAAGCAATGACCTGGAGGCGAAGGGCTCAATATCCTGTTACAAATCTCATTAGTCACTGGCTAAGCTGTCTAGTCCCTATCACTAGCCAATTTTGTTCTCTACTCAAAAGGATATAAAAGCATCATCTGTTCTCTGAGAAATGAGAATTCAAATTACATCTGAGAAAAAAAGAGATAGTCTGGAATAATTTGATGGTGGAGGTGATAAATTCTCAGTTACAGAAATGTACATCTTGAATAGTGGGGTGTTTTTCATTCTGTTTCCCTTATTTTGTTTGAACGTATTACTTCCTCCAGGAAGGAAGTTTAATCTTTACACCCAAAGAACTCTTTGTCTGGCTCCCACAGGTAAATGATGAGTCAGGAAGGCTACCAGCAGAAACTGCACTGCATGAACTTGAAGGTTCTTCCCTAGCTCTTCCTTCCCTCCTTTACTAGTTCCCCAGTCACACTTTTTATTGCACAGTACAAACTAAATTCTTGGTCAAACTCTTAGCTGGTGCACACTGGCATTGCTGAGACTAATACCAGCTTAGGTTCTTGGCCAAAACCAATTAATTTAACTTTTAGAATTAGAATGAGTTTAAATTGTACTGGCTTTTGGTTCTGTTTATTCTTTTTTTTTAAAACCTAATAGGAAAGGAATGGGCATAAGAAAGATACAATTTAATTACTCTGGAAAGGATTACTCTTAAGTCATAAGTGAGAAAGATTATACTCCTGTCTTTAATCTACTTCATAATGTTCCCATTTCTTTATAAAATCTCGGGTGACTATGTCCATGGCATGGGTGTAAATCCAATCATGAGGCAAAATCCTGGTTCTGCTGAAGGTACTGGGTTTTGCTGCTGACTTCCATCAAAACATAATTTTAACTCTATCTTCTGAAAAGTAAAGTGGTAATTGTAAGTGAAGACAGTTTCTGCTATTCAGTAATACTTAGAGTGGAAATTAGATATGTCACTATTTGCCCTTAGTTATTTTGGTTCTTCTTATTTCTTGGGTGTCTGTGGAAAATAATTACAATAACTACACTGATTCTGGTGGTCCAAACCTACTCTTTAAAGGTGACAGTTCCATATGGGGCCCAAGTTAATCTTTTGTTCTACAGCTACTAGAATTTGTTTTTCCCCACTACAAGAAGTCACTTCTTCCTGGAATTTGGTTTTAGCAGTGGGGAAAACAGCAGTACCTGAGTGCATGATTTCTGGCCAAGCTGGGCTGACGCTCCTGAAGCATCTCGAAAATGTTGGGTTGGCGTAGAAATGCAACAATCTTGTCATTGTAAGCTGAAAAAGGAAAAGGAAAACAAACACAGGAGCTTAATTAACCATTGAAGGGGCCTGGCCACATCACCATGACTGTGCAGGGGTACACTGACTGCACTGCCAGTGAGGCACAGGGCAACATGAAGCAGTGCATGTGGTTGATGAGAAATTCTAAAAAGCATCTTTGTGAGCGCTGCTTTGAAAAGAAAAGAGAAATTTGGCTTACCCAGAGGTAATGTCTCATGGTGGTGCTGGTTTCGAATAGCTGTTACGAGACTATTGCCTGGTCTGGCCAATAGAGTAACTCCTCTGTTCCGAGAAACTTCAGAGGCCTACAACATCAGAGGAAAAGGGAAGATGGGCAAACTGACCATTAGCAGCACATCAGTCAGTAAATAGTTTTCTCACCTTTACTTTTGTGATTTTCAGAACGGCCTATGAGGCTGACTACTGACTAAAGTACAGAAAGTCTTAGCATAACCTAACTTGCATAAACAGAAATAGAAGTCAAATCGTATACATTCAAAAAAGAACATCATCTGAAGAGTTTATTAGGAGTAGTAAGAAGGAAATTTATCACTCCTACTTAACTGAGGAACGTAAAGAAAACCACTGTCCTAAACACAACATTTAGTGAATGGAATCTCTTCAAGAAGGCAGATACATTAAAATGTGGGAAAACACTTAGATATGAGGGTATCAAAAGCCATACAGTGAGGTCTGGCAACCCGTCTTCAGTAAGTCATGGCTTGCTAGGTAACTGTTTGTAGACTTGTGCAAGCTCAGGGGAATCCACCTCTCTCGTGTGTGTTCCTCCACAACGTGGCCATGGTGAAGTCAATAGAGGAGTACCGCTACAAAATGAGTGCAAGGACATCCTGTACCAGGACAAGATGCATATGAATTCCAATTGCCGTTCCATTGGGCTGATGGCTGCTCCTTTCTCATTGCACAAATTGTAGTACTTGGCAACCACTTCAGGAAGAAATTGCCCCTACTCCAATATTTTAAATGCTTAGCTCTGCGTCCAAGCAAATGGTGCCAACTCACTTTCAGTGGTACGGCCAAATGCCAGGTCTTCCAACTGGATATAAATGAAAACTGAGAAGCTAAATGTGACTGGCAAGTTGCCTTTGGAGCACATAAAGCATAAAACGTTCATATGTAACAAGATACCAGTCAATACACTTGATATGTGTGAACACACAGGTTAAACAATGAAAAATCTTAATGATTCTAATTAAACATACTGTAATTGAAACACAAAACTGCTGTGAAAGTGCATGGTGAATATTTCGCTCCTTCATTCTCTTATGATTTCACTTGCACCCCTTTTATATTGGTATGCATCTGCTGACTCCAAGAGAGTTATCCCAGTGTCAGGGAAAACAGTCAAGCCCGCAGTATTTAATGGACTGATGTGCTAACCTTGGTCCAACCCTTCTCACCTTTAAAACCAAGAAGAACTTTCAAGCAGGCCATACACAAGTCACTAAGTCCCTCTGTGCTGTGCTAAATCTTCTGCCTTTGTCTCCTTCTCACACCTCCATGGGTCGACTGACACCGCAAGTTTGCTTCAGGCTTAGGCAGCTTTTGCCCTGTGAGCCAGGCATCCATCCTGACAGGCACCGTGTGGCCTTTATGGCATTCACTCTATGCTATGGAAGAAGGAGGCAGCTTAGGTGAAAGAGGTGCCCTATAATCCATTGCCACAGTGGGCATAAAGCCCTTCTGGGAAGAGTCGTTTCTTGGGCAGCGTAGTCAACACCACGCTCTAGTGTGTGATCAGCTGTTAGCAAGTACGTGTGGGATGGTGCCAAGGCATCGTGTTGTGCTCAGCTTCTCCACTTCCATATCTCTCCTCATGCCCTTGTAGAACAGGCTTGCATGTGAGGACAGATTGTGGGTGAGCCTATTTTTAAGGGTGGTCTCTGACTCATGATTGGCAAAGACAAATCCTGCGCCCTTGTTGCTACACATAGATTTACTGAATAGAAGGTAGGAAGGGGGAAAAGGAGGTGTAACAGAGGAGTTAAATCCCCATCTCCCATAAAAATTAGCACCAGCTGGTATTTGCTTGTCACTTGGGAACTGCATGGTATTTCTGCCCAGCTTGCGACTAGGTTCTCCCCTTGCTCATGTTACCTGACTGTGGTTTTTTCTTTTTTTTCTTTTGGCTAGCTTTCCAGTGCTGCTGAGTTGTGTGCCTGAACATATTTCTCTTGAAGCAAGAATTCTGAAATGAAATGTGTCTAGAGCCCATGAAGGGAAACCATCGCTTCCCCCTTCCCTTCTTCCCAATTCTGGTTTAACAGTTAAAGTCATCTCCATTGTAAGAATCCGGTTCCGTAAGCACCTTAAAATAATAAACTGCACACTCTGTGGCGTTTCATCACCATCATCAGGCATTGCTCATGCTGTGCTTGGATCATGGTCTTCACACATTTACACCTCTAAACAATTTTTCTCGGCAACACAACAGGAAAATTCCCAGCCTTCTAATTAACTTCCGTTTTGCTAACACTCCTCTTTCCAATCTTTTAGCTAATATAGTAAAATTGATTGCTCCAATTCAGCATTTAATCACAATCACCTTGTCTACTTTGACTTTCTAATTGAATCATTTAATTTAGATTAGTACACTATTCTCTAATTAAAAAAAAAAAAAAGAATGACCTCTCTAACGATTTAGTGACTTGGTTCATGTAGTGCAGGGTAATCTGACAGATTTATGGCAGGGTTTAACAGCTTTGCAATTGATCCTGGGATGCTGCAACCAGAGTGGAGTCCAGACTATCACAGGAGCCTTTCAGTGATATAATACCCTTTCACGGGTTTTGCATCATTGCTGAATTTGAGAGGCTCCTGCCTGTTTGAGTCCTGCTGCTAGCTTGTTGTGGTTTGGGTCAGTAAGGAGATTTATATACTGCTACAATCCAGCACCTCCTCTGCTTTTCTTGCTAACCAGAAACTCTTGCCTCTCCATTTATGGATGCCTGCTTCTTTCTTCTTTTCGTCTTCAAAATCTCTGCCCTGTAATCATACACGTTGATTTCCACTGCAGATGGAAAGTCCCTCAAAGGAAATGGAAAGTGCTTCTGACCTGTTCTGTTTACAGCAGTGGCAGAAGGAAATGAAGCACTTAGTGACCTATCTTCTTTTAGCTACTGATGGCCAGTATAGCTACCTGAACTTTTCTTTCAAAAATCAGGTAGCCAAGAGTAGCATCAACCACCGTTTTCCTGTAAAAGATCGATGTACTTACAGAAGTGCTTACTGAACGATCTGTGGCATTTTTGTCAAATTAATATATAATACCATTTAATATCAAGAATCTACTCAGGTGGACATCAAATGCTTTTACAGAGGTTCTTCATTCAGGAGAACATATCAACATGAAAGAAAGGATAAATATTACAGAATAAGTTATGAAATAGATGCTTTCTTTCTTGGAAGAGGGAAATGGAGTCAGATTTCCTGTTTTTTAAAATAGCCCACCATATACAGATTAAGTTGAAAAGGGCAGTTTTAATCTCTGCTTGGCCTGTTAATAATTGGGGAAAGCCATGAATAAAAGTACTTGGAAGCAACAGCCAGCCTTCTACGGAAGCTATGCAATTGCTATTTCTATTCTCTACTGAGAATCAATTTTCAATGTCATAAAGCAAAGAAAACTGCCATATTTTAGAAAGCATATTTTTATGTTCCAATTTCATGAGGGAGTTTTAAAAGTACATTTGAAATACTAAAAATCAATTCTTCATTAGTATTGCAAGGTATTCTGTTCAACACCGTAGATTATTAGGCAGGAATCAAGGCCACATTTTGAGGAGCCAAAAGGATTTAGAAGATTCATGGATATCACAGAAGGGAGTGCAGGAGATCATCGTTTTTACTTCAACACTACAACCTATTCACTGTACTGCCTCTGGCCAGGGAGCTCAGAAACTTGTTGGTGACTAAGACAAAACTGGCTTTTGCACTATGTTTTGGCCTGAAAGTATGAAGAAACGGAGAACCAAAACCTACGTAAACATCAGTTCCTATAGTTAACTATTCTCACTGAATTTCAGCCCTTCCTTATCTTAATTGAATTGGTTTGACTTCTACTACAAATACTTAGCTCTTGTAATGCCTGTCCTCTCCTAGATTAAATAGATCTTTCTACTAATTTTCTAAGAATTCCATTTGCTTTTTTGTCCACTGTTGAGTACTGAGATGACAATTTCTTTGAACCATAATAATTTCTTTACGGTGACTCAGCTAAGAGCCATTGCTGAGTGTGTGAAGCTGGGGTACTACTTTTTTCCCCACTTTGGGCTCATCTGCCTATGATTTTTGTCTGCAACTTCCTCAACTGATTACTCAGTGTCACAAAGTCCCTGGGAAGTCCACACAACACTCTGGCAACTTGTTTTGGCACGTGGGCAGGATGCCAGGTATGTGTGCCAAAGCAGGGGGTAGAGTTTTTGCTGTCATTACTCTGGATCTTTTCTATACCCTCTCTGGAACCTGCAAGCAATCATGACTGAAGCTGCACTGTTCTGCTCTTCTTCAGGCTCATCTGACATGTGTACATATGTTCAAAACTGGTGGTTGTCTGTCTTGGTCCTTCATACTGTCCTGGTGACAGATTCCAGAGGCCACATGACCTGCTCTGCAAAGAAACCAGTTGGGCTGCAGACAGCTGACACATGGCCAGGACAAAGCCCCAGGTGTGTTCCTACAGACATGAATTACTGGACAAAAGCATATCCAAATACACTTGGACGAAATGGCACAAAACATGCAGCTCTTAATAAATGGGCTGAGTTGCAAACGGTTGAAACTTTTCCTCGTAAATGGTGGGCTTTCGGGCGCCGATCCAACATCCTTAGAAATGAATGGGAGTCCTTCCAGTGAAGCAGCAGATGCTTCCAGAGGGGAAGCTACTGACTATGACAAGGGTGCAGAAGCACTGCGGGACATGGGCCGCCAAGACTGTGAGAAGAAGGTGCCAGCACTGATGCTCCGGAGACAGAAGGCCCCGTTTCATTGGCTCATCATGCCATATCAGTGGCCTCAATGAATAATTTACAATTTCTCCAGAGAATCATGACTCAGAAGTATTCAATGCTTTTCACTCTCTTCCCTGAACTTGATATTTTGGGTTTATTGCAAATTGTACTTTGCCAGCCTTGCCAGCACTTGCAAAACGAAGTGTATTTTTTGGGCTGGGTCACCTGATTTGTTCAGCAGTGTTTCTGACCCTGACGTAGTGAATTTATAAGCAAGCCCCAGGCAAGCATGGGCCCAAATATGAACCATCATGCAGGTGACTTTCACATTCATGTCCAAAATTCAGTCACAATAGCAACACTAAACTGCAGGCTGTTGGCAGAGGGAAGTTCCTAAGTTGGTGGGAAAATATAATTGAAACAGATCCATTGATACACTTCTGTCTTCAGAAAATATGTTGCTGTATTCATCCAAGATGGGGAAAACCTACTCAAGCTACTCATCCCTGGTCTGCCTTTGGTCCTGAATCACTGACCTCACACCCTAGTCAGCTCCTGATCCCAACCCCATTTGGCAGTGGGAGGTGTTCAGACTTGTCATGCTGCAATAAATTTTAATGTTAATTTCACAAGCATTTCTCCGGATGTTTTTCTGGAAGAGGAAGATCCTTCGGCCATAATTAATCTCTACTCCTATTCAGCTTCAATCTTTACAAATCTTCAACCGTATGGATTTGCTATATGGAGAATGTGATTGCTGGTACTTTTTCCTCCTTAAATCCACAACACAAACCCAAGATTTATGCTTCTATCAATCCTGCCCATGGCCCTTGGTGATAAAAATCACTCCCATGAAACACAGGAAAGATGTTTAATGTGATTGAAAGCCAGGGAAGCAAACCTCAACACACATTACTACACTACTGCTAGGGAGTATACCTTTCTGGAGCACAGTGCCACAGTGGGGAATGAAGAAACATATGAGGCTGCTGAAGTATCAGGCTATAAAAATAACAAACGACTTGACTTTACTTAAACAAGACTAGGATGTCAAATATAGATTCTTCTTTTAAAATCTATTTTGTCATCATTTCACTTTGGTTATTTAGTTTTACTTGTTCATTATTTTATTACGAAAACTGTCAAAATATAAACCTTTGTTACCAGCAAGCTATAAGATAAACCCTTCAGAAAGAAAAAAAAAAAAAAATACCTAATTTCCTTTGGAAGACAAATATCCACAAGACACTCTGTTTAGATGCTTTTCAAAGATAAGAAGTGTTTTTAATTCTACACAGAAGATTGCTGTCAAAAGTAACTGTATTGATACTAGCACAGTTACCTCTCCAGCGCTGTAGCTACGAAGTCGCTGAAGATGTTGCCTGTGAGTCAGGTGATTAGGGAGACGACCATTCTGCAGCGGGATCCTGGGATCTATGAAAGTGGTAGCACGGCTATTGTGGTCAACGAAGAAAGACTGAAACACACAGGAACAAAGTTTTTTTGTAAGACGACTGCTAACACTGTGATGGTATTGTGGGATCATAAAGTGAAAACCACTGGCAATTGTGTTTAGGTACAGTCCATGGAATATATCTGCAAACAACAGAGCTCTCTTAGTCAAAGCTAGAACAGCTCTTGGAAAATATCTGGTCAAAATCATGTGTAATGGCCATGAAGTAAACAAGACAGAAGAGAATAAAATTACAGGGGAGCACTGCTTTAGCCTGTTTCGTGGTTCCAGAAGTCACTCAGCAAAGCTTCATTGGAGGCAGAGACACTAAGCCAAATTTTGCAGTCATGACAGATCTAAACTCTGGCTTAAACTTCTTTGTTAGTCCAGTGCTGCATTGGCCATGGCGTGATACTCCACAAAAAGCTAGAGGGTCACCACTCTGCTTCAAAACATTTGTTCTTGAAGCTTTTTTCTGCTTCTGAAATAACTCTGCTTGCTGCTTTTGTTGTTTAAACCAAACCTTCACCAATTTTGAGTCAAGAAGGAAGGAATCCTTAGTAATCATGTAACCTGATGTGCCATGTTATACAGGTTATTGGTTTTGTTGGCACTCTTACCTTGCCCTGCTGGTCAGTTTTTATCTCCCAGCCACGCGGAAGTTCCAGTCGGGTATCAGCAAACATGTTGATAAAATTTACCAGGTCTCTGTTGTGCTGATAGCGCTCAAAATTACGAGCATCTCTACGGATCTTTAGAATCATATGCTTCAAGCAGGTACTATTAGTGAAGACTCGATAGGCACTCTATGAGATGGAAAACAGAAGTGAGGAAAACCAGTTCTGATGTCAAAACAACAAATTTGGTTATCTCATGGGATACATGCCCAAAGATCTGAAACAAATCCTGTTAGAGTCAAGAATCATTTCCGTCTCATCATTTTGATTTGAATGACTACTTCACACGAACACCCAGAATTAAGAAATACAATCTGGAAAGTGAAACATCCCATACATTATGCACAGTTAGCTTGTGCATAAACTGCCTTTCTAATGCACTCCAAAAAGATGGACAGCCAAACCACCACGCACTCAACATGCACGTAGCTGTGCCTATTTCATTGCTTTCATCGGTCAACAAAAACACTGTTTGTGTGACGGCATGATGCCAGAGAGATGCAAAGACAGCCGTGAACGTGTATTTATGCTATAATTCAAATCAAGATGCATGTGATAGGATTCAGGAACTTAAGAGTTCAATGCAGATGTCTACATCCAAGCTCGTTATCTTATTTATGGTCGCTTTATAGCCACAGGACAGAAACAGACACTTTCAATTGTCTGTTTTTGGAAGATATGAATCGTTTCCTGGAACTGAATGGTTGTTTCTGCAAGGACCACAAAGCATGTCAGATGGAGACATTTTCATGACTCAGATGCTAACGCCACCCCTCAGGCAGCTAGCTGTATCTCACAATGGGCATTAAATACACCTCTTAGAGTGATGTACCCTGATGCAGTTCTGAGTGAGTTAGTGCTAATCTGGTTGCAGAATCGGGGCCAAAGTGAACTACATCTGTTGCCACAGTGTGTTCAATGATAGAGCACCACAAAATACACTTGTGGTGACAACACTTCTTCTAATCCAGAGGCTATTCTTGGGATCTTTTACTTCATAGAATCATAGAATCATAGAATGGTTAGGGCTGGAAGGGACCTTCAAAGGTCATCTAGTCCAACCCCCCTGCAAGGAACAGGGATATCTCCAACTAGATCAGGTTGCTCAGGGCCTTGTCCAACCTGGCCTTGAACGTCTCAAAAAGCTCCTCAAGATAGGGTAGGAAACTTTACAAAAATATGCAACCCCTCTGACCATTTCACTAGAGAGAAAATGAATGCATTGGTTCTGCTGGTCAGCCCAAAGGATGTAATTACTCACCAGAATAAGGAAGGATCACTGGAGAACTCATGTCTCCAGTAAAGCGAGCCTCAGTGAGCACAGCTGTAATCTGTCCAGAGAATCTGACCCAACAGCTTTGAATTCTCAATTTCTGTGTACTTTTAATATATTTTAACTACTATAATGCAATAAAGCATTTACAAGTATTATCTTTATTATGTAAGGATTTATCATGGTGGTAGCGCTGAGAAGAGAATACTCCCTGCAGCACAGGGTCCCTAATTATGGCAAGGGTTGGTAAACGTTATGAAATTACAGAGATATGATCTCTGCTCTGAAGATACGACCCAGTTATAATTCAGGAAAACTTCATGGTCACAAATTGCTAAGATCCCAGCCTACTCCATGAGAGAAGTTGTATTTTGATCTAATGTGTATTTTGATCAATGACTGTCTGAGTATCTCTTAGCTTCAACTAGGGAAACAAAAACTGTAAAGTAGTTTTACACCTTTATGGAAATAAAATATCTAAAAAACGAGAGTGTTTTCCTTTTAATTCTAACTGCTGGATAATATTTTCCAATCTCAACTTCATTGGCATAATTAATAGCTCGAAATTTTAATAGGGGCTTGTGGTTAAAATATTACAAACATGTTAAGCCAAAAGTTATGCGGGCCATTATTTCTGTACAAATGGAATCTGTATGACCATTTGACAGATGTTTCAATGGATTATTCTGGCTCTCATATTAGAGACAGCTTTATAAGCTTAAACTGAAGGCCTCTCTTGGCTTTTTTTATTTCAGTGAGAAATAAAATTGGGATTCAGTCTCTCGTGAGCTGTTCCTTTACGCTGCTATGGAATCAGTTACTCATTTTGCAAACAACTATGCCGAATGAAAATGATATTGCTTCCAGCTATAAATCATCATACATCACCCTGTCAATGGAAGAAATTATGTGCACTCCATAATCTAGTTCAGGTAATATGTCAGATGAGTTAACATATCCCTTCCTCTGCAGGATTTCATGGGCAATAATCTCTGGCAGACACTTGGGAGATGGACAGCTGGCTTCAACCTGCAAAGTATCACAGCCAAAACTTGATGTCTGTAGTTAGCTAAAGACCTGGGCTGGGGCAACTCCTGAAGTGTTTTAATTTCTTTTCCTTTCAAAAAGAAAGGTCATCTCTACCCAGAAAAGGATGACTTTCCAAATATTCAGAAGTCATGTGTAGATGCCTAGCTGAAATACATTCAAGATATGGAAAACTAGGACTGCATCTCCTTGTGAGACTTCTATCTGCTTCCTCCTGGTTGACCTGACATTGCATTTTTTTCACTCCACACCAGGTTTGAAAGAAAACATGCAGATTTACTGTATTAATGGGAAAAAAGAGAGTTATTTGAATTTTGAAAATTCATTTTCATTCTTGCTTTTTCCAAAATAGCTGCACTGACTCAAGTCAGTATTTTTTTCACTGCATTGTGCCCACCTGCTTCTTGGGAGTGCAAACTGCATGAGGCAATATTTTTTTCCCTCTGTTTCCCTGAGATTTGTTTGTATCTGAGTTAAGATTTCTCAAGAACATGGCTCGAAAGGCAACAGCCTCACTCCCTGCAGCAACAGACAACAGAATCAACCAAGCCAAAACCAAGGATTTCTGCTCATTCTGGAAGGATGACATTAATGAGCTTCTCTGTACCAGGGAACTCCTTGTGTGAGGCAGAATCTCAGCAACAGTCTCCTTGGAGAAGCCTACCTGTACTGTCCCCAACCTGGTCTGGTGCTCAGAAAGGACAACCGAGGCCCGTGCCACACATTTCAAATTCAGTGTGCATTCTCCCTGAAGCGCTGGGGTGCAGCATTTGGATTCACAAATCAGTAGCGTGAGGGAGCAAATCATAATTACTTACATAGTTTGCATGCAGCACAGTGAAGAACTCAGGATTGGTGATGAACTTCACAGCTGGAGACTGCAGCAACAAGGTGATTTTTTGAGAATTCACAGGAGAAAGGGAACCTTCTCTCCTAATCTCTGGACAAAAAAAAAAGCAGTACAATCCTATTAACATAGTGGCAAGAGCAGTCTATTATTTAACCTTTAATGAAAGGCTGCAAAAATGATGGTATAAAAAAGTCACCATCCTGCCCAATGCACCTACCTTCTTTGCGCTTCCAAGACAAGCCTGCTGGCAAAGTGGCAGATGTTCTCCTTATGGTTAGTGGTACAGTACTTACAGTGGCAGGGGAGGAGCTGGATGGTTTTCTGTACTGGATGTTATAAAACTCTGTGTCAGATCTACTGTTGTCTCTACATGTCAATGTGACCATAGCAGTTTTTACCAGCTGATGGTTTGATTCAATACTGTCACCCAGGTCTTGACTGGTTCCCCCACTGCTGATTTTGGAGAGATCTGATTTCCCAACCCAGCCTGAGGGATTCACCAGGAGAAAATATTTGGAAGCAAGATGGGGTTAAGGAAGCCCCTTGCTCAGCCACTCACATCCATGTTTACCCTTTACTTGTAAATGCATTATTGTTGGCAAGTCCATGGTTTTGGGGACTTGTACGGTAAAGAAAACAAAAACAGACACAAAGGGACTATTTTTAATCTGTATCAATTCATGAAGCACAGGAGCAGAACTGAGGTTGAGAATGTAAATTCCGTAGAGGCGGGAACTCCTTGACCTTCCACAGACACCGGAAAAGTGCTTCCTACCATGGAATTACAGTTTGAGTGTGCAGTTCTGATGTTTTCAAATACAAGACAACTTTTATTTGCAGTCCAAGGAAATTGGATGCAGATGTCATCAACAGAATAAATACAGATACCCTTTTTTTTTTTTCTTATCAACTATCACTTTTTTTTCCTTCCTGCTAGACACATCATACTATTCTATCCACTTAAAACTGCAGTCTAGATCCATTGCTGAAGTTAAATTGATTTATACTCACCTAGAATCTGGATTAATGTGCCTAAATTGTATTCCTTCTGACATTTTTCATTTAAATTAAAAGGCAAATAGCAAATGTATCATCCTGCAGCTTTTTCTTATTCTAGTGTGGTTTACACCACCCTTGATCTTTTAATTCTCAGCATTTTACATAATATTGACTTTTTATCCTAAAAGCAAAGCAATTATCTACAGCAAAAAATAATTCCTAATAACCTAAGATGACATATATCATACTCATTAGCTCTTCGGGGTTAAAACGAAAAAGTGAATGTTACGTAATAAACTGACCTAAATACTGGTAGCAATTCCTATTAAATTACTATTTCATTATGTAGGCTATGATAGTAGATGATTATACATATTACAAGTAATGACTACATTACTTGTAACTTAAATACTAATAATACAATGTGTACCTCATTTCCATTTCAGCTGCTAGCAGAGAGGACTGGGTTCTCCCTACAAGACCCTGTGCAGATAAAGGGCTCCCATAAATGGAAATATAAAGGATTGCAAAGAAGCTTTGAATATCAAACATTAAACATTCTTGGTCAAAATCGATTTTCAAGCTAAAAACACCTACTGGATCGGGAAAACAAACAAGCAAAATTGAGTATTTTTCTAAGCTTGCTAAAAAAAAAGGTAAGTTCACTTTTTCTCTGTGTAATTCTTCCTATTCAACATGGGACATGAAGAAAATTCAAGCAGACATCATGTTGGTTCTTTCCCTTTGCCAATGGTATTTACAGAGGGATGGCAAAAGGATGATAAGAAGTCAGATTTACTTCCAGCAGACAACAGAGAACACAAAGATAGGTAGAGATGAGAATGATCCAAAGGAAGAGAACTGGTTGTTCATTTTGGTGGTGCAAGTTCTCACATAAAGCAGACGATAGTTATATTTGCATGTCCACAAGTTGCATAGTGGGCACTAGTCTGACTGCTGGTGTTTCTTACCTGAAACAAACACTTAGGCTATGGTATCACAAATGTTTTAAGAAAATATTAATATGACTACCACCGAAAAGAGTAGAAGAGTTCCCTGCCATCCCATTCTGCCCTGGGTAAACATTCTCCTCTTCTCCTTTGTAGTGGAGAATAATGTCATTCTTGTCTGGTCATCTAATGAGCCAGATGAAAAAACCAATCTGGCTAAAACCAACATTCAGTATAAGAAACAAGGTTATTTTTCAGGCAGAGCAGTTCTCTGCTCTGGTATGGGGTCCTGTCACATAAGTCAGTGATGAGCAAAAACAGAGCTGTGCCTCATCAGTGGCAGCACACACTTAGATCAGCTCAAAGCTATCACAAAACTGCAGCTTTAAAAACACAAGTTTTTCACACTCGATGCCAGGGCCACCGCAGGTGTGACCACATGGGCAAATGTGGCAGTGCAGAAGCCATACCCAGAGAGAATAAACTGCAACGTCTCAAGATAAATATCACACTGCAGCAAAAATGAGACAGCGCTGGTTTTGCAGCTACTAAGGTGAATAAAAACCTCATACCTTTTCCGTTTTAATTTTAGATAGCCCTTTACTAAAGTAAAAATGCTTTGTCTGTCTTAGCAATTGTTAAAAAAGAACTGAGGCCCCTTGTATCTAGCTTTGTACCTGTAGCTTTGGGTCTAAAACCTGTAGCTTCAAGTCTAAACCTCTTTTCTTTTAATTAGTTTTTGCAGCTCAGTGTAATAAAGTTCCAGTCCCCCGTGGAACTGCAGTTTTCCCCAGAACTGAATGCCATCAGTGAGTGGCACTGAACATGGCACTCAGTAGGTTTTTTTCCCATACCTGAGGTTGGCTGGGAAGGCTCTGCCTCAGAGTCACTTCCTCCTCCGGTGGGAACTCTCTCCACCCTGTTGTTTACTACAGCATCATCTTCAGTCCGCTCTGTTGCAATAGTTCGCTGGATATTTTGGTATCTACACACATTCAGAGAAAGGAACAACATACTTTAGTTAACAGAAGAGCTTTCTAGTGCTTTTCACCTTAACAATCAGCACTGGTTTTGAATTATTTCAATACCTCTGTCTTCAGCATATGACAGAGTAAGGGCACGCCCAACTCTTCAACTGATGCAGCTACGCACAGTTGGGCCAACCATTACTCTGCAAATATGGCATTTTGCACTGACTAACAAATAGGTATAGAGGGTGCAAAGCAAGGAAGACTCAAAGATCAAATTTAGAGAGGTATTTAGGCTATGGGTTATCACTAGGCTTCCCTTAAAACATCTGGAACCTAAAACAACTGTACATAGAATCATGGTTCCCCCTCTCATTTAGTCTTATGGTAGCAGAACAAATGAAGTAAGGATCAACCTTGTGGTGAACTGAGTAACCTTCAGTCTTTCTTATGACAATATTGGATGCACATGCTCAAACCTAAAAAGGCAAAGCCTATTAAGAGCATTCACAAAACATTTATTACGATACTGCATGGCCAGCAGTTGGGAATACTTCCATTTTGGTAGGCAATATGGAATGTAAATTAGTAGGCAGTGTGACCTCAGAGAGCTACAATCTAATTGATATGACAGCTATAGAAAAGTAGAGTAGTGTGTAACACAAGAGCTGAGTGAACAGTGTAGGGATGCAAGTGCTATGTCCATTTTTGGAATTCAATGGGATTGGGTATTTAGCTTGAGTGGCGACTAGTTGCAGAACAAGGAAGAGGAAATCATGTAGTGATAAGCAAACAACAGTGAGGAGAATGAGAGAATAAAATTCTGAATAAAAACCTGCAAATGCCTTTAAAAAAATCTATAATATCATTTCCATACTAATCATGGAACTAATTGACACATTAGTTGATGTCAATGGGACTGATCATGGTCTCAGGGATGGGCCCAATCCTAAATCCTTTACCAGATCAGGAACAAAGAACATACCTGGCTGTGGGAATAACCTGGAGTGTTTTGAACTTGCACTACATGAAACAAATTCTGGTTAACTTGTTCACTCACATAGACAGATGAGCAAGATGAGAGATCAAGACTACTTTGGTTCTACTAGCAAGCTATGAATACATGTCATATATTGAATAAGAAAATGTATTTTATATAAAAAATGAGAAAAAAAGGAAAATGTAAGGAGAAAGAGAAAGAAAGAAGCAGAAAGAAAAGGAAAGAAAGAAAATAGGTTCTCTTGATTATTTTAATTAGCTTTTACTCCACCCCAATATTTTTAATCCTTATTTCTGGATTGCATTTCTATATGTATGTATATTAAACAGGATGACTTTATTGCCTGCGTTTAATCCGAAGTGCATTGTTTGTCTCTCATTTTCCTGATTTACACTCTTTTCCTTCCTCAGCTCAAGTCTGACTTATGAATTTTACTTACTTTCTCCGTATTTGTTAATGCACACTTTATTCCAAATTAGTCAGGAGTTAGTTCCTCAAAGCGACACAGGATCATTAAAGACAAGCACTTAGGATTTGGCTTTTACATTTCTCAGCAGACAGCATCTCCAGTAGCTCAATGCAACCCAATCTTGGGCAGAAGAGTCAGAGATAATTAAGAAAAATAATTAAAGTTTCAACAGATTTATGCTAAATTTTCACAGTACTATGTGTGTCCCCCAGTACTCAGTCACTGGAAGCTACATTTAGTGTATATTTTGACAGTTCAATAAACAGCATCTTTAGAAGTTTTTTTAAAAAATCAAGGGTTCTGTGTTTAAGTAAACATCCATCTTTACAAGGAAATTCTAATAGCAGGTTTTGCAACAGCATGAATTTACTGCACTTTTAAACCCTCTGTTTTAGATTCACATTTTACATTTTTATTCACTTGACTGCAGGCAACTGAATGAACTTTCCATTCCAGTACTGGAGGAGTTTTACAACACCCACATGCAACAGCAAGGGGAAAAAAAAAGTAGTTGTTCATATAATCAAAGGATATAAGCACACATATAAAAAAGCCTTGTAGCTTCTATTTAATTAGATGGTAGAAAATCCCTATTGGCAAACCTGAAGGAGTAACACTAGTAGTATGCCAACAAAAGGCTACGCTTTTTTTTTTGGATCTCAATACTATAAAATCATCTTATATAAATACCAGAAAATGCCAAAGTAATTGGAGAAAACATTGAAAGTGCAAAAGTTATGGGAATGCCTCTGGAAATTTCAGTCGCCTTTCAAACTAATTTGTCAAAGAAATGGAGGTTTAGAAATACCACACTGTGGCTGTCTTAATTATTTCAATTATAATTTCTTATGTTACTTATTACCTTTTCAATTAGTACAAAGACAAATCTAGATATGCATATGGTGCAAAGGGTCTTTCCAACAGAGCTTGAACAACAAGGGCTGTTATCCGCTTTGCTAACAATAAGCAAGTCAGGTAGTGCTGTAGAAAATGAGCAAGAGTCTTCCAAATTAGAAGTATGGTTGGAGTTTGCCCAACACCTGGATTCCAGTTTTGCATTCCCTGCATCCTCAAGTGGCTAGTACAGCTAATGGGAAGCTCAGAGCACAGAAGGAAAGCCGGACAAGGCTATGGGTTTGTTTTTTTTTTCAAGCTGAATTTCCAAAGCTTTGTGGTTTTGGCTGGGCTGGAAATACCAAGCTTTCTTATAATATTTTGGTCTTTCCATTCCCTTCCACAAATGAAACCAGGAAGCCAAAAAGGGAGTAGATTGGTTTAAAAAGAAAACTCGCCAAGTTTTTTCAAACTGCTAAGTGATTTTGAGTCCAAATTTTGTCTGAGATTAGAGCAAAAGTTCAGGCTGCTGCTAATTCTATCAGCAAGGTCTATGTTTGCTGTTGCATCACTTAAAATGATTCTCAGGTGTGTTTGCTGAAGAACATTTCAAATAATAAAGCTTGAAATACAGCGAAACAGTATTTTTAAAATGAGTGCTTAAAGCAAAGTCTGATCCTCCACAGTGCTGGTAATAACTACTCATGAAGAGTGGTTTTCCTCAAAATCCTGAAATCTGGAGACAAGAAATATTTGAAATGAGCTTTAAGACAACAATAATTCTAAAAATTACAACAGCCAGGTTGAAAATACAGAAGTGACTTGCCACTGGACAAACGCTCAGATATTCAGTATGAATCTCTTTTACTAGAATCTTAGGAAACGTTCCCAAACTTGGGAACTACAGGAGAACTCCATATTCAACTTCTCAAATCAAGTGAAATCTTTGGCAGAGAGTAGAGAAACATCAGCTTCCAAGCCATGACAGCTCATGCTACTAAGATGAAAAGTGCTTAGTCTCCAATGGGACACACGTAAGGAGAGACAAGCCACTGCTGAAAACCCTCTTATACTTCTCACTTTGTAATTGGAAATGTGAATACTAAAAATAGAGGGATTCAAAGAACGTCAGTTCTATTAACTGTCCATTCCCAACCTAAACCAGTGATAATCAAGTCATAACCAAGAAAGCCAGGCAGCCTACATGAAAACGTGGAAGAATAAAGTTTGAAGCAAGGAAGCCACAAAGACAACGCCTACCCTTCAGTTTCTGCTGAGAGAGCTGGTTTAATGATTAACCTGCATTAACTAACAGAGTGGTAAATTCCTACGAAAACTCTGACAAGAACTTATTCCTTTCCTGGTTGTGCTGCATTTACATGAGTTGAACTTTCAAAAAAACCCACCACCAACAAAAAAAGCTGATGTATGTCCACAATAGAGCTTTCTGTGGCAGATAACTTTCTTAAGTGTCAGGCAAACAGTCTGAGCTTTGACATGGCCCAAATCCCTCTTAAAGACAAATGCTAAATGGCAGAGCAGTCATGCAAAGCCCTTGGAAGAATCTACATTAAACATTCACTTTCTTTAGGGTTTTTTTAACATTAACGTGATAGCTTGACACATTCTGAGGAAAGCTATAATGAAAACAAATACTAAGCACGTTCTTTCACTTCTGTAAACCGTAACACGTTATGAAATGCTATCCAAAATAATTAATTTTGGTGAAAAAAGGGAGAAATTCTTCATGAGTGTGTTAATGGGGTCAACTTAAGTTGCAAAATAACCACTTTAAGAAGTCTGGTTTGCTCTCCACAAGTTACATTAACTTTCTAGTTGCTGTCATTCAGGGCCCAGTTCTCCTTACACACAATAACTCCAGAACTATTATGCGCTCCAAAAAGAGCACTTTGAAACTCTGCATCCTTCTCTCAGCCACAGAAAAAAAGACCATAAAACTTTTGCAGCATTTTACATGCTATAACAGGTTGCCCAGAGAGGTGGTGGATGCTCCGTCCCTGGAGACGTTCAAGGCCAGGTTGGACGAGGCCCTGAGCAACCTGATCTAGTTGGAGATATCCCCGTTCCTTGCAGGGGGGTTGGACTAGATGACCTTTGAAGGTCCCTTCCAGCCCTAACCATTCTATGATTCTATGATTCTATAATTAGAATATAATTTCAGTTTTGGTTGTCTTTTTCTAGAAACCATATCATTACAGTAAGCAGGGACTTAAAAAAAACCCTTTTCTGAAGTAAAAAAGGAAGATTTCTGACCAACTGTTTATTTTTTCTCTTTCCTCTTAAATTCAGTCTGAAAAGCAAGCGTGAGAGGGAAATGATAAACAAATCTAGGCGTGGACTAGTCAAACAAAGGGAAAATATGCACCATGTTAAGAGATATCTCAGTCAGCTCAGAATGAACGGATGGATTTACAGGATCCAATGCAACACTAAGCAGATCTGTCTCCATCTAGAAATGTGTACAGACCTATTAGAGCAGTGCTCAGCCCTGGAAAAGGAGATAGACCTTTCCAAAAGGCCTAATTAGCTTGAGCAGAAGTGCCACAGTGATATGGCAACGCTATTTCAGTAACAGTCAGCTCAGAAAGCCCTACAGTGTAGCACTAGCTGCTGACCCATCAATAGCACTTCTACAGTTAAACAGCAAAAGTGACTCCATCTTTCGGAAGAATGTTCCCTTCTCTTCTGGGAGTAATTTCAAAAAAGTTTTCCAAAAGCCTCTTCTTGCTGTTTGAAACATTTTGCAACATCTTGCACTCAACAGCACTTCTGAAGTGTGCAAGTTTGGGCACTGGACACCCACAGCAGCCATACCAGCAGGCTGAAAGAGATCAGCAGCGGGGACGGCCACGTGTCCATTGGACTCGGACAAGGAGGAAAGATAAATCCTTAGGGAGCCAGTACGATGCACTGGGGAAGGAGGGAAGCTACTGACACAGTGTGGAAAAAGGGGAGCGTGGATTTCAAGGGAATATAGGTGCAAATCCTCACCGCCGGTTCAGCTGCTCCATTTGCTGGATGGAGCCAGACCTGTGGATCCCATCTGGCGTTGCTGCGGCTGTGGGGCGCTGCCACGTGGTGGTTCGGTTGACGTGATCAACGTAGAATACCCTCCCATGGCTGTCTATCCGAGCTTCCCAATCTAGGGTGGGAAAAAAAGGAAGGGGTGATGCTGTCAATGTGACGCCTTCCAGAAAACCTGAACGTGGGAGATGCATATACACACACACATATATACACAAACAGGGTATATACACACGAGAGATACTACATATAGCCTACATGCGTGCAATATATATTATGTGTATATATTCAAAGTAGACATTTAAATGTGTATCTATACTATGTGCTTATCTATATATATGTATATGCAACATATACATAAATATTTCACACACGGCACATAGGTAGCCTATGGAATTCACTACCATAGACTGTGACAAACAAGTGACATAGTGGCTACATTTTTTAAAGGGCTGGATAATTTTACAATTAGTAATAGTAGATGGCTGGCTTCATTGCAAGTCAGGGTAGCCACCCAGAACCAACCCTTAGTAGAAAAGGATTACATCTGAGCTAATAGGGCAAATCCCATATTTTCTTTTTTGTTATGTCTCAGAACAAACATGTTTCATTTTTCTCTTTTTTATAAAGTGGCTTCGCAGGATACTGTACAGCAATTAAAGGCTCCCCTGAAAACTGATCACAGCCTGGTTGGACATATCCTTAGAAATCTCTGTAAACACACGAGTATCATAAATCTATTGCTCTGATGAACACCAACTAGACTGAAAGTTTGCAGCATAATATTGAGCCTTCCAGCATTATTGTTTCCTGCTAATGTTTATGCTGTCCTGTGAAAACTAAAAGTTATTTGGTATATGATGGTTTGTGGAAAATGGTAATGCTGATTAAAAAAAGGGTTTGGAAGAGGAGAAATTCAGAAGTGAGTTAGCTATCAAAGCCACATACCAAATTGGTTGGAATGTATGGAGTAGTGATATAAATTAGACTTGCTAGCTTCATATTTCTACATGATCCATCATCTGATGACATATCGATGTAAATATATGCACGTACTTTCTACACGTGTTTATATGCAAACCTTACCCACATTCACACACAAATGCACATATGGTGATTACCTTTGGAGGCAAACACTTCCTTTTACTCCCACATTCTTACTATGATACCCTCCTCCCTGATGAGTCCACTCCTTCTTCTATGGTTTTCTATGATCAAATTCAGGATCAAATTCAGCTGGATTTCATCCTTTATGCACTTTATCTCCTATTCTGTAAGAGTAGAACTGAAGTCGTACCTCTTCCTGCTGTATCTGAAAACCTGTCCTTCATGTTCCCATCCCCTGAATGCTGGCCCTGGCTAAACTCAGTTCCCATACCTGGGCTGTCCAAAGTCTATGGCTGGCTGCTCCTGACACACTAATCTCAAAAGCCTTAAAAGATGGACACTGGGAGTCCTTGGAGGAATATTCTGTAAGGCTCCAAAACAACAAGAGCCATATGCACACGCATTATTTCTTTCAAAGCTAAGCACTTCAGACCTTGTAGATGCAAACCCTACAGTTACACCACAGGTACACACACAGTGTCTCTCACTGGGAACATCACTACACAATTTTAAGGAGAGGATTCTCTCTTCCTTCCACCAGGTGAAGTTTCCCAAGGATGTTGTAGCTGTTTCAAGAACAAGATCACAGCTTTGTGAAAACAATGTCTAAAAAACATAAGACAGTGAAAAACAGCACATTAAGTACAACAGATGCATATTGAAGGAAATCAGACTGACATATAAGGCAGGACGAAGGCCAGAGCCTTGCTGAGCACGCTGTCACTGGTGGCAGGTGTACCACCGTGGGTGGGGAATAGTCCTTCTGGAGCTCTGCATTATCTGCAATATCCTCAAGGAAATAATTTTCACCAGATCGAAGGGGGCATGATGCACCTTAACATCACGAAGATCTTTGTTTTCCTTGCTGTTGTCTGGCAAAGGACAAATCCTAGCCCTCAGCCCACACTATTGTAGTATACATGTAACAAGCTGAGAATAATAAAGGTTGGTAGATAATTAGAAGCTTGTTGGCAACACTGTAGATCCACACTCTAGACAGCCTACAGAAGACATCAACTGGTCATACTGGTCTGAAGCCTGCTAATGGACACTTAGTAAGAATAATACTAGCCGATTACACGGTCAAACAAGGGCTTCTCATAATCCAGCCATGTGCACTACTGGCTCTGGAGGATCTGTTGTAGTGTCTCTCTAATTAAATGCAACTCAGAGTTCCTAAGCTCCTAAGCATAATACTTAGAAATCTAGGAGCAATGAAACTTGTCCAGAGCTTGCAGGTCACAGTGAAAACATCAGGTCAGGATCATGCAGACTGGATTACAACTTCAGGAAGGCTATCTCTGTTGGATGTATCAGACATCCAGCAGCTGCAACTACAGACATGAACTACACCTAACTGTGAGCACCGCTTTGTTCACTGCTTTATGGGTACATACATCTGAAACCATGGGCTGATGCTTGCATCGGCGTGCTAAAGTATTAGGAACTGTGTGTCACGTGGCTTTTGAGAAACTTGCAGCAGTACTGCTCCTTCCAACAGCATTTCTAATCAGCTGAATTACTCTCCTTTTGGTCACCTGGGAAGGCTGTCAGAGGGTGACAGGTCATACTTTTGTCATACAAAGGTGGCAGGTGTACTTTCTGCCTTCCCACAAGACAACCTGTAAGTCACACAAGTCACTGAAGCTGCATATGATACCAGAGTTGTGGACAGATGGAAGGATTCCTGCACAGATTGATGAACAGGCTGACAGGTGAACTAACAGACAGAACTCTGCTTCTGAGCTGGGCTCAAGTCTCTTCATGCTACTTCAGGGGCATAGGTGGTCTAGGAATCAGCCAAATCTCCTCAGGGTCCTTCGTTAGTTTTTCAGGCAAAATAAGACTGGGACTACAACAGAGACTGACCTCCATCTAACCTTCAAAGCATGCAGGAGCACAGGCTGGGGACGGGACAGTACTGGTTCTGTTCTCCAGCAATCTCCCTCCATCAGCTGAGTCATATTTCACAGCAGCCTCTGAAACTGCTCTGATTTACACCAGAAGACGTAACTTTTTCTGGCAGGACCATAATTCTGGCTGGGCAAAGTAAATATGGTGTCTTTCCCTTTCCAAACTCAGGCACACCTTCGGCAAAGCGCAGCTCTGAACTGGGCACACGTGTTTTTCTTGGCTTCAGTTCTGTAGGGTTCCAGCAGTACTAGCAAACATACGCATAATAAGGGGTGACTATTAGTGCCGACATGAGGCCGTACAAACTCTGAAAATCTTCTGTCAATCTTGCGTTCAGACATAAATAATGAATCTGTTCTACCTTACTTTCTTAAGTAACTGTCTGAAATCAAATTTCATCCCTGAGACCAACTGTTGTGGGGTTATCATGAAACAAAGTTATTCAGAAAACTATTCAAAAGAGAAAGAAGACTGTCCAGAAGAATACCCATGACTGAAGTGAAATCAATGCTGAACTTGCAGCACTGGCAAATTATCTTGAACTCTATTTATGGACAGCAGCTAATGCTGCATGTGAGAAGCAAGCCAGGTTTGATCATATAACTTGGGTTTAAAATATAAAGTTTCTTCCTTTCACATGATTGAAGAACTATTTATCGAGGATTAAGAAGCTTTAAAGGCACTAAGACAGTGATACTGAATGTTAGAAGACGAAACATTTCTACATTAAAGCTACAGTTTTCATTTTGAAATTACCTTAGAATTTCATGGGAGAGTTTTTGGAAACAGGCTTCACAGGCGGTATTATCCAATTCAACTTTTTGCCCTCCCAAATTAACTCAGTACAGTCTATTCCTATTAAGATCAATATATTTCAGTCCACAGTGTCAGCCTTTATTGTAAAAATGATGTTATATGCAAATGCTAAAATAAAATCCTACAAAGGGGTGTCACTTCTGTATTGTATCATCACACATTGCATTTCATGCCTTTAAACCCTGCTGTGAAAGCACTTGTGAAAGTCAACGGTAGAAATACTTGTCTTTTGAGGACAATTATAAGAAAGAGGAAAAAACGTATTAAATTGGTGATGGAAGAATATTAGACAGATTCACAATATGTTTTATTTACCTGAGCTGGTATCATTAAGTCATCTAATGGGGAATGTGCCCTGTTCCCAAAGTGCTGAGGTAAGAGTGGGAGGAAGAGAAACATTTGCCTATTACAGAAGTAATCATTCCCATTTCATCATTCACTAGCAAGCCACAGCAGGTCTCAAGACTTCATGGGGCTAAAGGCATTTGAACCATTCCTGCTACTGTGCAGCCGACACCAGGGGCTGTTTTCAGCTCAGGGAATACTGACAGCATGGTTGGTAAACGATGAATTATTTGTCAAGGGCACCGTAGGCCAGATAAGTGTGTTCCCTTCTTGGGCTCTAAAGAAAATGGAGTGCTTTGTTTAAACGCCTGGTTGTTTTTCTGAGGCACTGCCCATTTTAAGTTGTTAAATCTTGTGCTGAAGTTGAAAGGTGATGAGCAGCACGTTGTAGGGCACAGAGTGCGCTCTGCTGGGCACTGAACGCCAATGCAGAAAGCGGGGTAATCCCAGGAATATACAAGGGCAAGGCTACGGAGCCAAGTGAAAACATCTCCAGCAGTTGATTCGGTGGTAAAAATCCCATATTATCCGTCTGCTCATCGATCACACTACTTAAGACCCTCTCATTTCTATCCAAGGCAACTGCAGGCACCATTACAGTCCATAACGAACATAAAATTCACTGTTTATCAAATCCAAAGGCAGTACAGCAAGACCACTCTACACAAGCTGCCTTTTCCCAGCTTCTGCTGGTTTTGCTCAGATTTGGACCTGTCTGCCCCAGGAGCACCCGACTGAAAGGGTTCCTGCTGGCCCTGCAAGCAGAGCTGACAGGCCACAGAGACTGCCAGCTCAAACCATCTTTTGAAGTTGGTTGTGGAAAACCTGGAGACAAACGTTATTGAAAAATCAGAGTACTTGGCTGATATACCACCCAGAAACCTTTATCGTAAGGCTTCCGGAACACCTGACAGATACCCACTCATTCCGGTCTAAACACACTGACTGGAAACAGGGAAATATTATTATTTTCATTTCACGGCACTTAAGAAGACGGAGGAAGACAGAGGGAGGTTATGGAGCTTGTCCAAAATAACATGGCAACACTTGAAGTCAGGATCAAATAAGGGAAACAAAAGAGCATATTGGTTGGGTTCTGGAGAATGTATATATAGAACAGATGGGGTTATTTAGAAAGACATACTGACCTCTACACTGTTTGAGTTAACAGGAAAAGCTGAAAAACGCAATAAATTAAAAAACTAAAGCTTACTTGGTGGAAGAGGCTCATCGATAGTTGGGTAGTGATGATGGTCAGGCCTCAGAGAAGGAAGCTGGCTGACTGGCTGAGAATTATGGAGTAAAGGACAATCACCTAAGGACAAGATATTCAAGACATTGACAGTCATTCACTGTTTTCACAATGTGGTTCAAAAAATGTGCTACTGTAAAACAAGTGATTATTTTTTAAATAAGTTAGCCTGGTGTACTAGCAGCTCTGGTTATTTTCAGGCACTATTTTAATTACAACTCATATGCCAAAGAATTATTAAAATAATGCAGTCAAGGCTCTGATCTCAGGTTCGAGACAATGCTAAACTATTATGGGCCAGATTCTGGACTCATAGACACACAAGTGTAAGCGAGAGAAGAATCAGGCTTGATCTCTGAGAAATACTGTGCATGTACAACCAAATTCAAGCTTCTGTAGAAACTGGCAGGAACAGGCAAAATCCTGGTTGCAACTTTTAATTCATCCCATCAGCGGAATACGAGGCCAAAAGCTGCCTTGGATCTTTCTCTGCTTTTCCAAAAGATCAATAGCTGTATAAGTGGACTGGAATGGCAGGATTTTGCAGTTCCTGCACAGCAGAAGATCATCCCCTTCTACAGGTATTTTTCAAAATTCAAAGAGTCTATCTTGGGTGGAAGGAAGGAGAATGAGAGAAGGACCAGAAACAGGTAGGAGACAGGTGGTAGAAGAGGAGGACAAAAGATAGTGAGACATAGTCAGGATCCGAGATAAAGAAGGAAGACCTGAGATACAGAAGAGGGGAAGAAGAAGAAAGAGAAACATAGTAGACAGTGCAGGGGAATTTTTTAAGCACTAACATTGTATATATGTCTATATATCCAAATATGAAGTAAATTAAACCGAAGTAAATGTCCAAGCTCATGTTCTGTTGAAAGCAACAACTAACTTAAGATCCAGTCAATGTGTACAGAATCCTTTAAGAAACTAAGAAGTCATACTCGGGATGAAAAGGCATTCCTTATCTTAGACTTAACCGTGAGAATAAGGAACCTGCGTGTTAAACTCCACAGGCTGCAGAATTAAGATTCCTTCTTGGTCTGTCCTTCGAATCTTAGAAATCAGGACTATTTATCCTACTAATGGACACATTTTCAAACTGTCTGGTAACAGTTTTTCACTATAACTTCCAGCTCCAAGTGGGCCTGTTAATACAGATACAATCTGAATTGCATAAATAAAACATTTACATCCATCAGAAAGATGCAGCTTAGGGAAAAAAATATATTTAGTGTTTCCAACATCACCGGAAAATTACACACAGATACTTCAAAATTAAACCCCAGACAATTCAGCTAAGCCAAACTCACTGTGTGCTGGCTGGTTTAGCTGTCTTTAATGTCAGAATCTTAATAGCCTAAGAACGAACATTTTGTAAAAAACCCAAATATATCGCTATCGAATGTAAAAAAAACATTTATCAAAAAATATGTTTTTTCTTTAAACAACCAACAGCTAGAAGGCAGAAGCCCATTTTGTACAAAACTGTAAAAAAATCTCACACCACATAGAAGTGAGAAAAACCACTTAGACAAAAATAATCCCTCTTCTAGGTGCTATGATGATACCGTATGGCCTGTTAAATGTCTTCATTAAACCACTCGTGTACAGGCGTACCTCACAGTTGCATCTGCTGCATGTTTTGAACAGACAGCAGAGTTATGTAAGTTATTACTCAGTGCTAAAAGCCCACCTCTCATCGCCTTAAAAACTGTGCTGTTACTACAGGTGGTGTAGCACCAACTAACACATCATCCATCTATGTTTCTTTACTTACCTCACCATAATTGACTCTCCCCTAGTCAAGATAGTTACGCCAAGCCAGCGGAAGCATGGTAGTGTCAGTCACCTGGAGTGGACGGAGGTGACCACGTCCACTGTATTTGTAACAGCTGCCAAGTCATGAACCAACGTGCACGTTTACTGAAGCACCCTCGGTGATATCAAAAGAGTGCTAAGAGCCAGGCTGCCCATCAGACACACTCTCAGCTAATCAAAGCAAAGCCACCGTGAACACTGCAGTGCCCTTTATACAGGCTTAAGGGGCACAATCTTGGAGCTGTGCTGAATCCACATGCAGAAGACACCCTTTCCCCCTACATCCCCTCTCAAAAGCACACACAGTCCAAAATAACCATCAAACGTCTAAGCATGGTCTCACACACACACGCGCTCATACCCCCTTAGGTACACTTGCACATAAATGCTGTTCACAGGCAAAGACCCTCGCCTGCAAAGAAGGAAACTGCATACTCCTGAGAATTTAATTCTTTGGGCTAGATTCTGCTTTGCAGAGTGAGTAATTGCCTAGGCCCAGCTGCTTACAAAGTCTTTACACAGCCCAGCGTGTAAAGCCACTGTTACACCTTCCTTTCTGCTGGAGTAGGGTCTGTGGCAGTGGAAAGTGGGGGTGAATAAATTGGGAATGGAGAAGGAAAAGGTAGAAGAATGATTTAGTTGGGGTTTCCCAGTGATCCTCAAATATGTTATCCTTTTGGTGTCATTTTAATTTGGTGTCACTTATAGTAGGAGACAGATGACTCAGGACTTGGGAATGCAAAGACTACCTCTAGCCCTCGCTGCATACTCTTTGCTGCTGAGGCCTTTACTTCTTCAGCTGGAGAAAAACGATACACTAGCTGATGAAAAGATGAGTGATCAAACCCACCCTTCATGTAACTCCATACAACATAAAATGAGTTACCAAAGGGAGGAATTTAATGTAACAGTTGGAGGGATTGGGAAAAACAGTACCTAAATTAAAAAGACAAAAAATTACTTTCTTAGTATGTTTTATCTCTAGAGAAGGATAAGGAGATGAGAACCTTGTTCAACGTAGTTCAATTTTCAAAGCATCTAAGAAAAAAAAACCTCTGTTGAGTTGCGCTATGGTCTGTGAAATCTGAGGTAGATTTGTTTGATACTTGGGGAATTGGAACAAATGAGGCTAGAAAACGGGGCTCGTAAGAGACAAATATTCGCATTTCTCCATCCTTATGACTGGGCATGGCTACCAATCACATAAAGAAACTGGCCCAGATCTTTAGCTGGTGTAAATCAGCACATCTGCCCTTTGACAAGCACAAGCTGGTCCTCTCACTGACTATCAGAGACATGGCAGCACATCAGATATGTGAAATGGAACAATCCCAAGAAATAAGGAATGAGTTGGTGGATGTGATAATGCTGATCTGCCACATAACTACAGTAGCTAATCTTGATTTTATAATGATGCACGTATGTCTAGAGGAATCCATACATACAGATTCCCATCTGATTTATTTGGTTGTGCTGGGATTTTTAAGGACAGGCTCAATTATCCAACCCTCCCTGATATCTGGCCCAGCTCACAGTCCCCAAATTCATACGAAATAAACTGTGAAGTCTTAAACCTCAATTATCTGATGCCTTCTGTGACATCCAGATAATCAAGGTTGCTCAGCGCATCGATTCTCAGGATCTAACCTTCTCTTCTGCTGCTTGGACCTGCTATTGGGGTGTCTAGACTCTCTGTGGCTCTTTGTGGATTCCCACCATGAGCTACTAGTTCATCTGGCCACTGGGAGGAGCCATCCACTTGCTCCCTGTCCAGCTCAGGGCTCTGTACTGAATCTGGCACTGACTCAAACGCACTGTTCTCCTCCTCATCATCATCCTGTGAGGAAAAGACCGTGCTCTCAGAAATCTTTGCACTGTCGACGGAGGAGAAGCGGGTATGGCTGGAGAAGCGATTGTTACTGTCATAACAGGAGGTGCTGTAGCAAGAAGTGCTGTAGCAGGAGGTGCTGTAGCAGGAAGTGCTGTAGCAGGAGGGACTGTAGCAAGAAGTGTCGCACGCCTCACATTCATTGTCACCGTTGGGCCTGGAGCTCGACTCGCTCTCACTTCCTGTCCTGGGGTGTTCCCCATCCAACAGCCCATCGTTTAAGTCACAGAGTTGCTCATCCAAGGTCCCAGGAGGCACCGTGCTCTGGCTGAAGTTCTCTTCAGCCTCATTTTCCAGAGGGGGCTCTGCTGCCACTGTCTCACTCTCACTGACCACCTCCTTCTCCAGCGCCTCCTTGACTGTAGACTCCTCATCGTTCTCCCCACCGTTGCCACCATCTTGCTCTTCTTCCCCATCACTGCTCATCCGTGCTGAGGGCAGGCTGTGGAGCAGGTTGTGGATCCGTATGTAGTGTGTGCGAGGGGTCTCTGGCTCACCGCAAGCCGAAGCTATGACTGTCTCAAGTTCAGATACAGGCAGGGAGCATGGCCTGTTTTTCCTCTTTGCTGTGGTCCTCAGTTGTAGCTTGTTGTCTTCCTCCTCCTGGGCTGAAGCCCCTTCTTCTTCCTGACTCTTCTCTACGTCCTTGCCAGCATGCACATCTGCACTCACCTCATCAATATCTAACGTTTCTATGCTGGTCAAGACTCCATCATCTCCCTGAGTGCCAGAATTGACTTTGTTATTTTCCCTAACTTCAGTCTCAGGAGGAGACATGCAAGCCAGCAGAGCCAGCTGCTCCGTGAGGTCCGTAGCACTCAAAGAAGGCAGCACTTCTCCTGGGATGGATTCCAAGGGCTCAGGAACTGGCACCGCATCAACCTCCCCATCTCCTGCTAGCTCTTCATTTAAGCTGTTCTGGTTGACTTCCCCAGGTCGTTTGACAGCCCCTGGGCTATCGACACTGTTCACACTGTATCCATTTAGCTCTTCTGGAGCTGTACTTTCTGAGGTCACTGTGTTGATGCATGGAGGCTCACCGAGGCTTTCCTCTGTGGGGTTGTTGACAGGGCTTTCCTGGAGGTCAGCTGGCTCAGGATCTGCACTAATGGAGACCTCTTCATCATCTGTATGAGACAGGAAAAGAAATTACTTACTCCTTTAACAAGAAACGTTGATTGAACCAGTAGCTTGGCTGTGGAGGCAAAGGCATCCACAGCAATCTGATAAAATTAAAAGCATAAATTACAGTGTGAAATGAGTGGGCAACTGAGCAACTACCAAGAAATGCTGATTTTTTTTTGCTAGGCAGTCTTCGTACAGTGGACTTAATCATGGAGCTTACTCATGGTGGTAACCTGTATGCAGCACCCCATCTCCTTGCAACAAAACCTGAAGGTAACACCTTTTTGAAACTCCTCTTTGAACCAAACTGGCATTGGAGGGAATATCGTGGGAAAGACAAGGAAGTCTTCCCTGAGGTTTTAATAACTTTTTTCTTGTCATGCTGAAATTGACAGGACTCCACTACTTAAGAGAACTTAAAAAACAGCTTTTCACACCCCTGAAAGGTGGAAATTTCCCCAAAACATCTTTTGATGTGATCCTCATCTGTACCATCTCCTCCCAGATGCCAGACAACCTGGGCTCTTTCGCATCATCCAAACAGTCACATGACTGAAGTCAGGGTTTTCCATCAAGGGACAGGTCACAATTTTCAAGCACTAATGCAGCTGCTGTTGGCTTGACAAAGGGCACCTGAGAGGGCACTACCACAGAGAGGGAAAAAGTCCATGAGCAATGCTATTGAGACTTTGAGACGAAAACCAAGGTTCAAACTCACACCATCACGACAGTGACTTCCTAATAGCTACAAGAGAACGTGAACTAAAACCAAATCAAAAGGGAGGGAAGGAGGGGAACATTGAATTATTTTTTGGTTTACTTTTTCATTAAAAATAATCAAATTGAGAAAGTCTCTAATCATCTCTACTAATACTCTCTCCATTTTTACTTATGAAGTGCTCAAACGCAGGTGACACTACAGGTAACAGCCCATCTAGCACTTCCCCAGGACAGGTGATAGAGAAGCAGATGAGTCTTCAGTTTTCTACCCTCTTCTCTCCCAGTGATGTGGCGGAATATTTGAAGCAGCCAAGAACAGGGGGATACGAGACACCAGTAGCTCTAAGCTAAGGGGAAACAGGGAAGAAGTTGTGACTCATGATGCATCCTGTGACAGCGGGCTTTATGTGCTTTCCTTTGCTCGTGACTGTACCTAAAGTCTCAGAGCAGCCAGGAATGAATTCAGACTTCTGAGGAGAAAGAATGCAAATAAAAAAAAAAATCTAGATAGATGACAGAGAATTACCTGGATGGATGGAAGAAGTTATCTCAAATCGGAACTGCAGCTGGCCACTGACATGATCTGTAGGAAGCCTTCGACCCAGAGTGTAGCTTACAACCCTGTCCCTGAAAGAAAACAAATATCGTCACAATAGACTATAACCTACCCAATGTCTACTGCACATAGATAAAGCTGTTGTGTCCTACAAAAATACATAATGGTTTTCAAAGGCTATTCAACCCAGCCATGAGGGCGTGTTGACTTGCATACAAGAGAACGAATGGCAGAGAAGGAGAGGACAATGTCTTCAATTACAATGGAACAGCTGAGTCAGTGAATAAGACAGGCTTCTGGGATACACAAGCATGTATGTATATATAGAGAGAGAACGGTGGGAATGGAACTTCTGCAGTATGGGTATGAAAGTATCAACATGGGAAGCAAACAACTCCCACTTCAGCTATTGTAACAAGACGTCCCTGCTGATCTGACCATATCTACCCATCTGTAGAACCTTGCATTTCTGCATTTCTTTCCCTTCACCATCTGCATAAAATTCAGCTTTCCTGTCCTTTCTTTCAAAATCCTGTACAAGCCAGTCCCCGCTCACCACCTTCTCTTTTCAAACTGGCTGAATGACTGCTCTTCATCTCTTTTCACCCCTCTTACCTCTATGAAGCTGAAATATCAGGAGAACACCTTCCTGACAAGGTTGATCAATGACTCCATTCTGTCCTTGTGCAGGTCCCTCCCTTTGCCACACTTCATCCACCCCTCAGAACAGAATGAAACTATAGAAGAGATTAACTTCCCAGCTGCCCAAAATGAGGCTGAATCAATGTTTGCAAAGCATTTTTTGAGTGTAAAGGGTTCACTAATAGTAATATTTATACATCTTTTGAAGAAACATAGTTCGCTTCCAGTTGGGCCCGGTATGTTTGCTAGGATAGTTAAACATGCATCAGAGATTCATACAAAGGAGACGATCTCAAGATTTGTGTATGGCCTTTCTGAACTAACTTGTGTGTATACTTCTCATTGAGCTTGCCTGAGATTTAAAAGTCCCTACAGTATTAACACTAAGCCAGATCTAGGTGCAGGTTGGAGGCACCGCTCTTGGCAAAGTATATCCTTAGATAGACAGTGTTTACAATAAGGAGGTAAAATAGGAAGATATAATCAGAAGATCATGAGAAATCTTCTCATACAGAGAGAAGCCAGTGATATCAGTTACAGGGCTCTACCTTCCCCAAGCTGTTCTTTTCCATCTGGTTTCTAAAAAGCTACTCTGTCTTCCCTACTTGAGAAACAGGGAGGTAGCTTAGTCCCTTCTGGTAGATTCAGCTGTCAATATCACAGCCAGTTTCTGAACCAGCTGTTCAAAACCACTTCCAACAAACCCAGCTTCCTGCTGTTCTACTGAATTGAGATCAAATTTTCAAAAATGCCTTCTTGGGAACCACATTGCCTATGCTCTCCTCAGTAGATGACTCTCTCTCTCTCCCTGCTCCTCAAGGTCTGAACCTTAAAGTTCAGAGTCAACTTTTTGGCTTTGTCTACATAATATCCGTCTTCCTAAAATTAGTTTGTGTTACTTTGGCAGCAATAACCTTCCCAGAACTTTCATGCAAAGGGGAAGCAGGGCAGGGTTGCTGAGCTAAAGTGAGCTCAAGCGAACTAGTTATTCCTTGGCAGCCAGGTAGGGTCAGAAAGATTTAGTTACAACATGCCATACATATTTTTTTATAATATTTCCACTGTCCAGAAATTAAAGGGAGAAGGAACAGATCTGGCATGATTTTAGCCCATAGGTAATTCCCTGAAACATCAAAACAGCCTGTTGATAACATTAAAATAATATTAAAATTGAAAATATTGCGCTCTCCAGATTCACAGCCATGATACACACAAAATCATTTTCCTTCCTAAACGCCAGCTCTCATTTTTCAAAATGCAAAGGATAGGGCTATAGAGAGAATTCTTTGTTGGGCCTGTAGTCCTATAAATTATAATTAAGACCAACATCATTCATCAGACAACTGTCAGTTTAATAACTCACCCTCAACGCCATTATATCAACTACAATGATATATTACCAGGGACTTCAAAACAGCAACATGCTTGTTAAACAAAGGAAAGTAGCATAAGTAGCAAATTTACCCTATGGCATGTCTTTCCAAGAGGCGTTGAACCGGCATAGACAGTTTTCCCAGGAAACGCTTGATGATCGGTCGGCTCTTTGCAAATTTGTCTTTAACTTCTATTTCCAGGACATCCGTGGGCAGGGAGACAAAGCTGAATTGCTGCAACAAAGAAAGAGCATAGAACATGAAGCAGGTGGCTGGGCCACACAACAACATACAGCTGCTAGAGGATTATCGACTTCTCTACGTCTCTGGCTTTTTCACCGTACAGAAACAGTCCTTGGACTCCAAGGCATAGGCCTGCAAAATAAAAAGAGCTTGGTCTCAAAGCAGGCAGGTCAAAGCACCCTATGGATACTGTGTAATGCTGCAGAATCAGGCTTGGGGAATGCAGGAATTTCATTTATTCACATCATGATGGCACCTAAACACTCTAAAAAAGGCTCGCCAATGGTAAGAACAACGCACCTGCCAAAATGTAATGAACTCTGCCCCAGCAATCATTATTGATCTAAATGTAAGTGCACAGATGTGCTGGTTTAGCCAGGGGTACAGTCAATTTTCTTCACAGTAGCTACTGTGGGGCTGTGTTTTGGATTTGTACTGGAGCAGCGTTGGTAACGCTGGGATGTTTTCGTTATTACTGAGCAGAGCTCACACAGTCAAGGCCTTTTCTGCTTCTCACCCCACCCCACCAGCGAGTAGGCTGGGGATGCACAAGAAGTTGGGAGGGGACAGAGCTGAGACAGCTGACCCCAACTGACCAAAGGGATATTCCACCATATAACATCCTGCTCAGCATATAAATCTAGAGGAAAGGGTGGATGTTCGGAGTGATGATGTTTGTATTCCCAAGTAACGGTTAGGCATAATGTAGCCCTGCTTTCCTGGAGATGGCTGAACACCTGCCTGTCGATGGGATGTAGTGAATGGATTCCTTGTTTTGCTTTGCTTGTGCATGCAGCTTGTGCTTTACCTGTTAAACTGTCTTTATCTCAACCCACAAATTTTCTCACTTTTACTCTTCTGATTCTCTCACCCATCTCACCAGGGTGGAATGAGCGAGTGGCTGTAGGGTGCCTAGTTGCTGACGGAGGTTGAACCACAACAACAGATTATGTTTTTTTCCTTTTTTTTTTTTCTCCCCACAAAATTTCTAAAAACTTTAAATAGCTGCATGTAAGTACAACTGAACTGGCAGCCTGGAGAAACGCTTAGTCAGCATTTCCCTCCAAGTGAAATAAGTCCTCTTTGCGTTTGACTGGCCATTTGTGGTCCTTTGGCAGAGGCACACCTCAGCTATTAATAAGTGAGGACCTAGTGAGGTGAAGGACACACAATCAGAGTTTTCAGATACGTCTTGAACTCTCTCCCTCTCTTGCTCATCCTTGCTCCACCTTAAAAAGGAGTAAAACTGAACAGATGGTTTATTTGAATCAATCTCCTACCCTGCGGCACCACACAGCTCCACAGAGAGCTAAATCAGCCGCTAAGCCACAGCAAAGGTGACTGGAACAAATGATACTGGGGAAGATAAGAATGGCACCACCTAAAACTCCTGTTGTCACAAAGAGCTTTGAAACATGTGACCACCACCTCAGCTGAAGTGGTTTTAAGAATATCTATTTTCATTTGTCAGTAATGTTTCAACAAGCTTTCAGAGCCTCTGGGCACACAAACCTGAGATAGGAACAAGGAGGGTGATATTTTAGGCTGTGGAAGCAAGGGAGTCCACTTGTACAGCTTCCAAGCATGGGAGCATAAGGGCACCTGGAAGCGTCGCGATCTCCCCACAGGAAGAGCAAAGCTCTATTCAGGAGTAATAGTGAAAAGCAAATATATTAGATAACTTGGCCTTGCTTGCTCCTAGATTGGCTAAATTCAGTACAGACTGGGAGCTAGTGACAGAGGTCACTGCGTCTTTTTTTCCAAACAGATACGCTACTACTAGAATATCATCAATCAAAATCCTCACATCTCCGCAGTGCTGCGTGGAGACTGCTGTTCCCCCAACTGAAAGGTCAGTATCGAACTGGAAGACAACTTCTGTAGTAAGTGAACATTGAGATGGATGAAAGGATTTTCTAGCTTTCCTGCTGCCAAAAACAATCTTCACAACAGAATCACGCTCTGGGTTATCAAGGCCTGGAGTTAAGCCTTAAATTGCTTGCTCTATTGAATCATGATCTAATTTTCAGAAATGCTTAGTTCAAACAGCTTCAAGTGAAATGAATGTGAGTGGGATATTTTGTTAACCAGGCCCTGCAAAAATCAGAGAAATACAATTCAAATAACAGCTAAAGTGTTGTTTTCTTCTACATCTCCGCAACAGGTTACCAAAGAAGCTAAATCCAACAAAGGGGAGAACACTAACTCCCCATGTATATTGGAAGTTATCTTATAAAAATAAGTTGTTTACCATTACTGTTTCACCTGCTAAAAACCTTGGGTAACTGCCACTTCACAACGCTTACAAGGAAAACAGAAGAAGGGAATTAACTTTTCACTGAATGAGGTTATTGTAACGTACAGCAATTTGCCTTTTAATGAATTCTCCATTATGATGCTGGTGACATCGATATTGTAAAAAAGCCTGTGTGGGGTAGAGCATGCACAGACACAGATAAGGACTGAGCTATTTGTAAGTGTAAAGTAAAACGTAGGTTAATGATCTGCACCTTCCTTTGTTACTAATTTTTTGTCTTGTGGTACAACTCTGAAGCAAATCAGAATCTGCACAGACATTTGTTTCCATAGCATCAGGTGGAACCAAGCCTGACAGTTCCTTTCTTGCAAAAGAAACACATTAACATTTTTCAGAGTAATTATCAGCACCTGAGCAGAGAGTATGGATGCACAGAGCAAAATGTGTCGGGATCAACCAAAGGAAATGTCCTTTTCTCCTCGATCAGCTGTGCCTCTCAGATGTACAAATGCCCGGATATTCCATACAATCCGCAAAAAATCAAACTGTGTTCTGATTTCATCACCTGCCAACCACATTGTATTTGGGGATACATGAGAGTGCCCTGGAACCAGCCCCGATCCATGATATGAGGAGTGGCTGATGGAACTGGGGTTGTTCAGTCTGGAGAAAAGGAGGCTCAGCGGAGACTATGAGGAGTGGCTGATGGAACTGGGGTTGTTCAATCTGGAGAAAAGGAGGCTCAGCAGAGACTTTCATCACTCTCTACAACTACCTGAAAGGAGGTTGTAGCAAAGTGGATGTCAGTCTCTTCTCCCAAGAAACAAGAGATAAGATGAGAGGAAATGGCCTCAAGTTGTGCCAGGGGAGGTTTAGATTGGATATTAGGAAAAATTCCTTCACTGAAAGAGTTTTCAAGCATTCGAACAGGCTGCCCAGGGAAGTGATTTGAGTCACCATCCATGGAGGTATTTAAAAGATGTGCAGATGTGGTGCTTAGGGACATGGTTTAGTGGTGGACTTGGCAGTGTTAGGTTTACAGCTGGACTCAATGATCTCAAAGGTCTTTTCCAGCCTAAATGATTCTACGATCACAGAACTGTTCCCAAATGCTTCTTCTAGGAGAATGTTCTGATGCTTAAAACCAGCAGCATCTCGGCAACAGAATTAAGCCTTTAAGACCAGAAGCGTCCTGTGGCAGAGCTCAAAGGTTTTGCCATTTGGAAACTGCAGTTTGAAATCAAAACAAACTCAGTGAAATGGGTTTGGAGACAGATTGTAAAATACTGATAATTTTACATAATTCAGTTTTCCATTATTTAAGCACTTGCTCCTACTGTTGCTCTCATCTAGTTTAATCCTTAATGAACAAGATTTTTCTAAGGCAATTCCTGGCTGCTGATGTCTCAGGGTCAGGCCATCCACACTGGAAAACCTGAAGGAATCCTTGTTCACAGAACGCGCTGGCTTCCAGTCCTTCAAAAAATGGATGCCAGCAAAACACCGAGGCTTGAGAACTCAAAACTTACAAACTCATATTCAAAAGTCACCAATCACTTTCAAAGACATACAGGTTCTTGTGATTATTTAAAGATGAGACTGTTTTCTTCAGATGTGGAAGCAAATCACCATCAAACCCTAATTTCTCTCTTCCTTCACCTTCTTTTCTGAGAAATGCTGGCCCCTGTACCTTAACCACAAAACATTGGTGGCATTTATGGTGTTCAAGCCTTGGTCTTAT